TTAAGGAGGCGTGACACCTAGAGAGAGGATGTGTCCTTGTTGTAGAAGGCATGTCCTTGTGGAAAGGGCATGTCTTTACGGAAGTGGGCGGGTCCATGTGGGTAGGTGTGTGTGCTTGTTGGAGGATGCACATCTCTGCAGGGTCATGGGATGGGTCATGTCCTTTTTGGAGGGGCAATGTTATTGCATGAGGCATGTCTTTGTGGGGAGCAAGTCCTTGTGGGAGGAGGCATGTCCCTCTGGGAGGAGGCATGTTATTGCAGAAAGAGTGTCCTTGTGGAATGAGGCAAGTCTTTGCATGAGGAGGCATGGCTTTGATACGGGAGTCACGTCTGCAGGAGTCGTGAACTATTGTGAGAGGAGTGTACTTGTAAGAAGAAGTGTGTCGTTTGTGACAGGGGGTGTGTTTTTGTGGGAGGAAGTGTGTCATTGCAGGAGTGTGTCCCTGTGAGAGGGGGCATATTACTGAAAGATGGTGTGTACTTTTCAGGAATGGGTGGGTCATTGCAGGAAGTGTATCCTTGTGGGAAGAGGCGTGTCCTTTTTTGATGGGGTGTGTCCTTGTGATATGTTGTTGATATAGGAGGCAAGTCATTGCAGAAAGCCTGTCCTTATAGGAGGAGTCATGTCCACATGAGAGGGGATGTGTCATTGTGGGAGGGGGGTGTTTTCTCCTGGAAAGGGGCACAGCCTTTTGGGAGGAGGCATGTCCTTGTGAGAGGTAGAACCTCTCTGTGGAATGTGTGTCCTTCTGGGAGGAGGTAGGACCTTGATGGAGGGGGTGTGTAACTTGAGGGAGGGGGGTGTCTTTGTCAGGGTGGGCATGTACTTGTGGGAGGAAGGGTATCCTTGTGAAAGGGGGAATCACCTTCTACCAGGAGGCATGTCATTCTGGGAGGAGTAGTGTCCTTGTGGGAGAGGACATTGATGTAGGAGGGCTGCTATCTGATGCTTTCATTGGTTAATTAATAAAACTGCTTGGCTTGATAAGTCAAAACACAGGTAGGCGGGGAAGACAGAACAGAATGCTGGGAGGAAGAAAGCAGTGAGGCAGACACAATGGAGCCAGCCACCAGGTCAAACAAGCTGATCTTTCCCATGGTGCTACACAGATTATTAGAAATGGGTTAAGCAATATGTAAGAATTAGCCAATAAGAGGCTGAAACTAATGGGCCAGGCAGTGTTAAAATGAATACAATTTGTATGTTATTTCGGGTGTAAAACTAACCATGCGGGAGCGGGATGGGTCGAAAAGCAGGCCTGCTTGCCTTGTCACTATAGGACATGTCCTTATAGGAGGGGCCATGTCATTGCAGGAGGTGTGTCCTTGTGGGAGGGGCCATGTCATTGCAGGAGGTGTGTCCTTGTGGGAGGGGCCATGTCATTGCAGGAGGTGTGTCCTTGTGGGAGGGGCCATGTCATTGCAGGAGGTGTGTCCTTGTGGGAGGGGCCATGTCATTGCAGGAGGTGTGTCCTTGTGGGAGGGGCATTTTCTTGTGGGAGGGGCCATGTTATTGAAGGAGGTGTGTCCTTGTGGAAGGGGCATTTTCCTTATGGAGGAGGCAGTTCATGATAGTAGAAGTGTTCTTGTGGGAATGGGCGCTTCCTTGTGGGAGGGGGATGTCCTTTTGTGAGGAGCTATGTCCTTGAGGGACTGAGCACTTTCATGCAGTGCAGCAGGGGGCATGTGCTTGGGGAGTAATCTTATCCTTATGGGAGGGCTTGGGCCATTTTGGGAATTGTCATGTTGTTGAGGGAGGATGTATGTCATTACCGGAGCTGTGCCCTTGTGGGAGGGGGTGTGTCCTTGTGAGAATAGACTGTCCATTTGTGAGTGGACACATTCTTGTGGGAGTGGGCATGCACTGTGACAGGAGGCATGTCATTGTATGAGGAGGCATGTCTTTGATACAGGAAGTGTCTTTGCAGTGGGTGAAATTGGAGGGAAAGGGCATGTAATTGTGGGAGGCAGCATGTTCTTGTGGGAGAGGGCGTGTCCTTGAGGAGGGAGGTGGATTATTGTGAGTGTTGGGATGTCCCTGTGGGAGAAGGCACACCCTTCTTGTAAGAGGAATGTCATTGAGGAGGGAGGTATGCTCCTGTGAGAGTAGGAGCATCCTTGTGGGAAGGGGCATGTCCTTGTAGGAAGGTACATTTTTTGTTTGGGGGGGGGGGTGTCTTCTTGTGATACTAGGAGTGTCCTTGTGGGAGTGTGTCCTTTTGGGAGGGAGTGTGTTCTTGTGGGAGGAGGCATATCTTTTAGGAGGCATGCAGGAGTGTCTTTGCAGGAATGAATTTGTGCTATGGGGCAACTACTTGTGGGAGACCTGCCCTTTTTGGAGTGGGACTGTCCTCACAGGGGCATGTCCCATGACTACCTTTAAGTGTCAGCCTCAAAGCCGGGTGATGGTGGCGCACGCCTTTAATCCCAGCACTCGGGAGGCAGAGGCAGGCGGATCTCTGTGAGTTCGAGCCCAGCCTGGTCTACAAGAGCTAGTTCCAGGACAGGCTCCAAAACCACAGAGAAACCCTGTCTCGAAAAACCAAACAAACAAACAAAAAAGTGTCAGCCTCACCACCATGGTTATTTTTATGTGTCAGCCTCATCACCATGGTTACCTTTATGTGTCAGCCTCATCACCATGGTTACCTTTATGTGTCAGCCTCATCACCATGGCTACCTTTATGTGTCAGCCTCATCACCATGGTTACCTTTATGTGTCAGCCTCATCACCATGGTTACCTTTATGTGTCAGCCTCATCACCATGGCTACCTTTATGTGCCAGCCTCATCACCACGACTGCCTTTGTGTGTCAGCCTCATCACCATGGTTACCTTTATGTATCAGCCTCATCACCATGGTTACCTTTATGTATCAGCCTCATCACCACGACTGCCTTTGTGTCAGCCTCATCATGGCTACATTTGTTGTGCAGAAGAGGAACCTGAAGCTAGAAAGTGGGAACACAAGGTGCCCAGTGATCAAGCAGAAACTTGCACCTGGGCTTCTAATCACCCTGTTCCATGGGCCCTGCTGGCAATTCTGCTCTTGGGGAAGCAGAGACTGGGAAACTTAGTCAGCTACTCAGATGCCTGGCCTCAGGCAGAAACTGTTGCGTGTCTCCAAGTTCAGATAGGAATAGAGGCTGAGCCATAGGGTGGCCATGATATGGGAGCATCTGACAAACCAGCAGGGTAATCCAGCCATTAATCCCTTGAGCCAAGGTCTCCTGCTGGCAGGGCCCAGCTGGTGGGAGGAACAGGAATCAGCCCCATCATCCTCAGCCTCTGACTGTTCCTGTAGGCTTTTTCCCCCCTTTTATGTGATGCTGGGGATGAAACCCATCATCAAGCCCTTCCTTCCTATGTTCCTTTATGGATGATAGAAAATTGAGCCCAGAGAATTTTGATGGCAATCTCTGCTCAGTAGCCCACCTTTCCAGTCAAGACAGCCTCCCCATCTCCTCAGCACATACCCAGAACCAACTTCCATCCCAGCCTCCCACCTCAAGGGTAGAGGTTAGAGGCAAGCTTCCTTTCCTTCTTGAACTGAGAGATTCATTTGAGAAGTTGGAGGTTTGTCTACCATGTGTCTCCAGAACCTTGAACAGCATAAAACAGGGGCAGTCAATGCATACTGACTGGGTGACCCACGGACAGGAAGAAGGGACTAGCAAATACAACCCTTCTGTTGGCAGATAATCTTGGGGTCCAGGCACTGTACCAGGTATTTTTCGGCTGTTTCACTCATTAAAGCCCAGGCAGCCGTGTGTGATGATCTGTGTGGCACCCAGGCAGGAGCTGCAGTTCTTAGATGGGTTATGGTCAAGAGCCCTTTGACAACAGGCACTCCAATGGGAGGCACTCCAGAGGACACTAGACCTAGAGAAAACACAGATCACAGGGCCTGTGAAGCAAAGCCAACTTGAACCGGACCTGGGAGAGGACACAGGAGGATGTGACCGCCATCACTGACATGTTTCATAGTGATGGGATGGCTGCTGGGCAGAAGACAGATTGTGTGGCTGGGGGGTGAGTTTGGGGAGTTCCTGTGCACTGAAGCCCTGATCTGAGCATTTGTTTTCTTTAGCAGACTCTTCGCAGAACAAATTAAACTGGACCCCAGAACCCAGTGCCCTATCCCAGCTCTTCCCTCAATGAGCTCAGAAGCACACCCCTCACATGTAAGATTCAGGTTCAGTCAACAGGTCCAGATGGTGCTTAGTCTTATGATCAGGGCTCCTACCCCCACTGCTCTCTTGGAGGTAGACCAATGGTTTCAGGGGGCAGTAAGCCTATGTGTGCCTACACGGCTATGTTCTACGGGCCCTTGGGCACCAGGCCTACACCATGTGAAGAGCTGCGCAAGGTGCTCTAGAAGACACTATTACACAGTTTGCTGCCTCCCACCCCCACCCCAGAGGATATTCCTCACTGCCCACTCACCTAAACTCAGAAAGCCAGCACCCAGTCTCACTACCACACTATCCAAACCCTAGAGCACTACAGAATGAGGCCATGGAGAGAATCTGCACATCGCCCCCTTCCTCTGTTTTGTGACCACGCACATGGCTGACTTTGCCAATGAACTGTGAGGGGACAGTCTTAGACACCAAAGAGAGGCTGTCACACATCCTCCCATCCCCCACTTCTGGGGACCCAGAAGCCAGCCCTTGAGTGACAGATCAATGTAGGATTCTACTCTGGAGAGGGGCCCTACTCTCCTTGGAGATTGTCAAGCCTGTATTCATTTTGTGTGCACCTGTGTGTATGCCAGAGGCTAATGTTTGATATTTTTCTCTACCTTTAAAAAATGTATTTTATGGGCATTTTATCTGCCTGGTGTTCACAGAGGCCAGAAGAAACTGCAGTTACAGATGTTGTGAGTTCATGCGCTGGAACTTGAACCGGGACCCTTGGAAAAACGGTCAGTGCTCTTAACTGTTGAGCTATCTCTCCAGCTCATCTTTTTGCTTTTTATGATTCATTTTATATTTAATTATGTGTATGTGCAAAAATTTGTGATTATGTCCACATGAGGGTAGATGACCTTCAGAGGCCAGAAACCCAAGTTACAGACAGGTCTGAGCTGCCCAATGTGGATGCTGGGGGCTAAACCTGGGTCCTCTGCAAGAGCATCATGCATTCTTAAGCACCACTGCTCCAGCCCCTACCTTATGCTCTTACTGAACAAGTTCACTGATTTGGCTAGGCTGGCTGGCCAGAGAGCCCCAGGGATGCTCCTGTTTCCTCCCTAGTGCTAGAATTATATGCACATATATCTGTATATAAACATATATGCATATACTGACTTTTATGTTGAGGATTGAAATGTAGGGGTCTCATGAACAGATAGCACTTTACCAACTGAGCCATCTCACCAGCCACATTTCCCCCAAATCTTAAGCCCCATTATTGCAACTCAGTCCTACCCACTATAGAGAAGGATTTGGGCCACTTGTGACTTTTATCTCAGAACCTGAACTTGGCCACCTTACACAGACAGAACTGAGGCACACAGCCTAAGTGTCTTGCCCAGGGTCACATGACAGCAGGACTCAAACCAAAGCATTTGTGTACTATGCCATTCTGACTCACTGCCAGACCCCAGGCAGCTCTTAACCTTGGTCTCCCCCATTTCATTTTACTTTTAATTTGTGTGCCTGGAAGAGGGCACTGGACTCCTGGAAGCCAATGACACAGGTGCTGGGAACTGAACCTCAGTCCCCTGCGAGAGGAGCAAGCACTCATACCTGCTGAGCCCCCTCTCCAGCCCTGCTACTTCAGACAACAGCGGTGACATGGCTCTCCTACTCTGGTTCTTCCAGGATGGAGGTTGGAAACCTCTGTACCCAAAAGGAAGTAAGATGGTTGTTTAGAAAGAAATAAAATATTTTTCTTTACTGCAAATTATTTGTAAATATTCACGTTTCCAGTGTCATTACAAAAAGACCCCCAGGAGAACTCTGGGTCCTTTAACGTGAAAGAATGGTACAACTTACAAAAATAATAAATACATATATTGCCACCTAAAGAAAAAAAGGAAATTGCCTCAAGAAAAAGGAAATCAGCGCCAAAATTCATAGCAAGTATGAACTGTGGCTGGCAGCAACTTCTTGTTGCCCATGGGGGTCTCTCTTTGGTCTGCAACCCAAACACCTAGAAGACCACTCTGAAGAATTCAAACTGAGGATCAAGTGCAGAGCTGGGCGTGGCTACTCCCTGAGTTCAGTACCTCCTCCCAAGATATCAAATTCTGGGCACTGACTTTCTCCCTGGAACGGTGCTTAAAAATGGTGTGAGCGTGGGGGGATCATTCGTTTTTGTGAACGGCTCTCTTCTTGTGCTGGGGTGACAAGGACTGTGGCTCTGTCTTTGGTACCACTCTTCTCATCTGTGGGTACCACATCCCTCATGCTCCTGACTTCTGCTGCTCATAACTACTTACAGATCTTCTGAGAGGAGTAAGCCCTCCTCCTCCCAGCGAGGGACAGGAAGAGGCAGAAAGCAAGGAAGGGATGGGGGCGGTCAGGATGTAAGTCCCTGTGAAGGGAGTATTGCTTGGCCTGGTTCAAAGCCTTCTGCTCAGGTCCTTTCTCACAAGGCTGCATCTAAAGCAAGTCCTGTGAGAGCTGTACTAGGTGCAGGGAAGTGTCAGAGTGCCTGAAGACCAGATGGCAGGCAAGGAGACATCACTCTGAGGCAACAGTATTTGTTGTTTGTTTTGTTTGTTCTTGTTGTTCCCTTGCTTTCAACTGCAGGCCTGAAGACAGGAAGCACTCTTCTGGAACCAGCAGGACCATGGGAACTGATAGAAGAGCTGGCAGGATCAGGAGAGGCACCAGGGCTTGGCATCCATGGATGTGGCTGGAGAAACATGAGGCAGTAGCTGTTTGGTCACTAACTAGTGTGTTTGACACCAGCAATTTCTCTAGCAGTTCAGCTGCCCTAGGCCCTACAGGAGCATGGGTAAACTTCCAGAGAACCTCACAAGTGGTACCAAAGGTCTGGCTTGTGTTTAAAGTGGAGTACATCTGTCTCCCAGTTTCTTCAAGGTCAGATCCAGAAGGGGGCCAGATGGCGGCTTCTGCTTTGTGCGTTTTGCTTTTTAGTTTGGTTTTCTTTTTCTTTATTTATTTTTTGGTTTCTATCTGGGAGGCTTGGGTTCCTAGGATTGATGGCTAATCCCTGGATACTGGGATGCTGGCCCCACAGTTCTTACCATCATGCCAGGGCCCAGCTCACACCAAGCCTGCATCCTTAGCCATGCTATAGAAGATGCCCCTGTGCTGCAGGAGCTCAGAGGGTGCACCACACTCCCGAACTTCTCCTTTGTCCAAGACGATCACCCTGCATGGGGAGAGATGTAGATGTGAGCATTATGCAAAGAGATGTGTTTGATGTCTATGGGACTGCCTGCCTGCAGAAAGTATTACAAACTCTAGGGGCTGGAGAGATGGGTATCCACCCTACCACCTCCTTGTTATCACTTGTACCTAGCACATGTCACCCTCTGACATCAATGTTTGTTGCTGTGTCCATTGTCCCTCTCTTTTAATTAAGTGTCCTGGTCCTTAAGATATTCCCTAAGCTTTGTTTGAGAGGTGACCCCAGAGTCCAGAATAACACGGGGCACATAGCAGACCCCTCATGCATATAAATATGCTGAATGAAATAATCCTGGATAACCTGTTCTTCTCGTGACAGAATAGTCCCACCAACTGGTGTTGCCCCTGAGCCTAAAAATGGTGACGGATGCATGAACAAACATGACTGTGAACCGGACCAACCCTGTAGGCCCACAGACCCACTCTGAGGGCTTCACCTTGTATAGTCCATGATGGTATTAAGCCGATGAGCAATAGTGAGCACAGTACAGTCTTCAAACTGTGTCCGGATGGTGGACTGAATGAGGTCATCTGTCTCTAGGTCCACAGCTGCTGTAGCCTCGTCCAACACTAGAATCTTTGTCTTCCTCAGCAGAGCCCGGGCCAGGCACACAAGCTGGCGCTGGCCGACACTAGAAAGGGAGAAAATCTCAGAGACAGGGCTCAAACCAGCCTGATCCTGAACCAGGTTTGGAGTGGGTTTTAGGCAGGAGAACAAGTCCGCTCCCCATGTCCATGCCTGTGACAGACATTACTAATCAATCATGCTTTACTTCCATGTGAGCAGGAAATGGACTTAGAATCATTCCCAACAAAAGGCTCAGAGGTAATATTCACAAAGTATCAGGCCATTCTGGTGTGGGTGACAGAGTGGATAACAAAGGTGGTTCACTATCCATGACCTCTTTGAGCTGCTGCAAACTCAGCACTGGCTGGGCTCAGCTATGAGCCTGGCTTTAGTCAACGGAATGCTGACCAATGAACGGCCAGTAGAGGCCTAACGTGGGAATGGACATGTTCACCCTTACACATCTGCCATCACCACAACAGCACACCTGGGCAAGTCTGTTGGAGGATGAAAAACAGATGCACTGATCCCACTGAGGCCAAGTAGATCAGCCAACAGTCAGCTGCACCTACTTCCTTTCCCCATGAATAAGCCCAGTCAAGGTCAGCAGCACAGTCATTGACTGACCACTGACTGAAGCAGAATGGAGGCTTGTTGGCCTGGTGATGGGGGCAAGAGGACAGAATCTTCACACACTGGCCCTGCCTGCCTACCTCAGGTTCTCTCCACCTTCTGCACACTCATGATTCAGCTTGTCGGGCAAAGCTGATACAAAGCCTTTCAGGTGAGCAAGCTCCAGGGCCATCCAGACTTCTTCATCAGAATACTGACTGAAAGGGTCCAGGTTCATGCGGAGAGAACCCGAGAACAAAACAGGATCCTGTGCAAGAACAGCAGATAGCATGTATGAGGGTCTGAACCTAGAAGGTTCCACACAGCCTGATGTTTTGAGCACTTGTTCCACGGTTGGTGGTGTCATTTTGGGATGCTGTGGAGTTTTTAAGGAGGTGGAGCCTGTCTGAAAGAAGCGGGTTTCTGAGGGCAGTCCTCTGAAGCTTCGTCTTGGCTCTGATACTGGCAGGGTCCCTGCTTCCTTGATGTCACCACCACACCTACAGCATGACCTTGCCTTCCCCACTACGAGGGACAGCAACCCTGTGATACTCTGAATCTCTCTTCCCTGCAGATGATTCAAGGGTTCCGGCACAACTATCAAAAAAGTAACTAACAGTACATGGCAATCACACCACACTGAACAAGGAAAGCTCACCAATATAAGATATGAGATGTTCACACTAGAACAGGAAGAGATCTCAGAGTCCCTCCAGAGCATGAACTCTGTGAACAGAAAATGTCTGGGAAACCCTGTGTAACCAGACCAAAACTTTTTTTTTCAAAACTTCTCCAAACTTTCAATATGCCAATTCTCTGTTGCTTTTAGTGGTGTTATTTCATCACAGCAACAGAGATGTAACTGATGCTGTCACTCAACCCCACCTGCAGGAAAGACTCAGAGAAACAAAGAAAAATCACAGCCACAAGCAATGCATTAGGGAACTCTTGTCCACAAGGGAATGGTTTAGAAAATTCTTATTTGCAGCATAGCTCCAGAAGTGTTAGAGATTAAGACACTGACTCCTGCAACTGGCAGAGAAGACTGAGTTATTATCACCAAAATCCTCAGATGCTCTGGGTCTCTGTATGAAACAGTAGAGCATTTTCACATCACCTGTTCACAGTTCCTATATACAGCCATGTACTATCTAATACCAAGAAAATACTTAGGAAAATAGCTGACCATCACTTGGGGGTAAAAGTCTATGTATGATATTAAGTGCAGATGCTAAATCTGGAAATAGAAAAACTAATCATGGGTTTTGTGACCAAAGCTACATGCAACCAAGCCTGATGGCCTTGAATTTGATCCTCAGAATACACACGCAGAGGAGAGAACTGACTCCTGCAGACTATCAATTCATATGCATGGTCTGTTCCCCTCCTCCCAATAAATACATGAATGCAAATATATTACTCTCCATCTACAGTTGGCAGAGTCTATAAATACAGAGGGTGTGGCTTCAGTGTGTGCAGGACCCACCAGCCTTGCCCACCTGGGGGATAATGGTGATCTTGAATCGCAGGTTGTGTAGGCCAATCTTAGCAATGTTCACCCCATCGATGATGATCTCCCCTTCTGAAGACTCATTGATCCGGAACAAACCCAGGGTGAGTGATGACTTCCCAGCTCCTGTACGGCCCACAATGCCAACCTATAGAACAGGAAGAAGCTGTGGTGATGTGGGAATGCTGCAGACTCAAGGTTCTCCCAGCAGGTGGCTGGGTCAGAGCCGTGGTCATCTGGTTGATCTAGCTTCCACTACAGTGCTTACCCCCTCTCCACCCCGCTTCTCCAAGACCCACCTTCAGGGGCTACTTTGACAAAAGGTTGGAAAAGATGCCCTTTGCTTCACAGAGGCTAAGGACTTTTCATAAGTCAGAAGAGATGCTCAAAGGAATAGGGTGCAGATAGAGGAATGTTTAGTTGTGCTATGTTCAACTAGAGAGAGTCGGAAAATAATGAGGTGCTTCCTGGCTTCCCACATGGTTCCTCTCTCCTCTGATGGGAATTCCTTCCTGAAGGCATGATTATACCTCAGATTCAAGCAAAGCCCCTGAACTTCTCTGATACGGTCCGAGTACCCCAGTTCCTGATCAATGGCTAACATTCCCCATGTCCAATGACAGGTCTTTCTCCTCTCTTTTACATCTGGGCTTGAGTAGGCTCCTCCACAGTTATCACAGCTCAGCACCCATGCATGAATGCCCGTAAGACTCAGAGATTTACCTCATGGAAAGAGAACACTTGGACACATGTGGATGGACAATTTAACAATTCAATATTACAGTATGCAAATGCCTAGGGTGATCCCTGACCAAGTGTCTGAGAAAGGTCTATGGGCCATGGTCTTGAATGCCTTCCAGGAAGAGCTTGGAGCTATATGTCCCCATAAGCTGTTCTGGGATGATGGTATCACTTTATTACTCTAGAGTTTACAAACTCCAGTAAAGGGACACACAGGAGGAGCTGGGGTGAGCTGGAGGGCTAGATTCTTCTAGACAGACCTGCAGGGGGGTGGGCAGAACTGCTACATGTTCCAACCATCCAAGAAAAGCAGAGGGACCATTTTATGGATCACGGATTTTTTTTTAGTATTTATAGTTCACGCAAATGTTTTCAAAAAACGTATCTGCATGTCTGGGGTGTCGTCCACCTGTTGAATACACTCAGCATCTTTTATTCCCATGATTCCTCCCTGTAAAAGCACCTCAATCCCACAGTGGAGAGTTCATGCTGGACCCTAAGTCAATGGAACAGAGGACGGCGCACACCCACCTTTTCTCCACCCTCGATGGTGACGTTTATGTTCTTGAGAACCAAGTCCAAGTCCTCTCGATACCTCAAGCAGTAGTTCCGGAACTCTACACGGCCCGAATGGGGCCAGGTACTGGGTGGAGCTGTCTCCTGGATTTGCCAGGGAGCCTGGATCACAAGAAGAGGGATAAGAGAAACTGGCAAGTGCAAGCTGCCAAGAACAGTCTTTTATGTGGGTTCTGGGGTCTGAACTCTTCACCCACTGAGCTATCTCACACTTCCAATCAACTCATTCATGCTTAATTCCTCAATTTATGAGGAAAATTGTCCTCATTGTGTTCCTGTTTTTCCCAGGATACCTGTGGGCTGTGTTACTTATACTTACTAAGGGATATTTTCCTCTAAAACAAGATGGTTCTTAATAAGTGTTAAAAGCAGACAGGAAAAGCCCAAGAGGGCCTGGCAGACACATAGTTCACCCTCTGAGTAAGCAGAGGACACCCAAAGGGTTTCTGAAAGGCCAAGGCTAAGGGGCCAGACTGAATCCTGCCTTACCTCCTTCTCTGTTTCAGAATACTCTTTGAGTCTCTCCACAGCCACGATGTTGGTCTCCATCTCAGAGGACATTCGAACCAGCCAGTTCAAGTAGGAAGTTATCTGCCAATGGAGAGAGCCATGTGGGGTCTCTTGGGGAAAGCGTGGCTTCATTTTCATTAAGTATGCATCATATCATTCACACAGATACAGAAATAAGTGACCTACAGAGCCATCACCAGAGTGGACACACTGCACCTCTTAGGAATCACACCTTTCAAGGTGACACATGGTTCACACAAGTTGTCAGAAAGCAGCCAAGAGCTGTGAGGTGGCTCTGTGGGCAAAGCGCTTGCTGAGCAAGCCTGGCAACCTGAGTTCCACCCTCCAGGGCCATGTAAAGATGCAACAAGAGAAAATAACTCCACAGAGTTGTCCTCTGACATCTGCATTGTGGATGGAAGAAAGAGAAGGGGGGAAGAAAGGGAAGAAAGGAGGAATGGAGGGAGGGAGGGAGGGAGGGAGGGGGGAAAGAGAGAGAAGACAGAAAAGAAAGGCAGAAAGAAAGAGAAGTCATATAGGAAACTGGAAAATATTTTGAAACTGGGTGATTTTCATGTGGTGGATCCGTAATTAATCCCAGTGCTCCAAAGATTGAAGACGCAGAATTATGCCAAGCTCTAGGCTACCCCATCTTAACCACACAAAGAAAATATTTTTAACTCAGTATAATAAACATCATGAGATGGAACGAACACAGAACTCAGGGAAATTCATAGCTTTGAAAGCATCAAAGCCACTGAGAATCTTCTGAATGGTGAAGAATGCAGGCCACGTGTCAGGATTCCCATAAAACTCCATTCAAGCCCTCTCCTTTTCCCATTCGTGCAGGTACCCAAAGCCAAGATCTAGAAACTCAAAATCTGGTTGCCATGGGGAGAACATTCAACCCAAGAAAGAGCCTTCTACCTGCAATGAGTAAGACACCGAGAGGCCCACCAAGCCAGCGCTGAGGCTGTGGCGGGATATGACAGCAAACAGGGCGGCGAACAACACGATACAGTTGCCCACACACTCAAGACGCACAGCGAGCCACCTGTAAGGAGATATGTAGGAGTATATCAGACAGACAGACAGACAGATGCACAGTTTTAAGTTCATGGAACAGAGCTAAGCTCATCTGCCATCTGAGCTAATTTCCAAGCACTTCTAGAGAAAGGCCTTGTGGGTGACACTCATCCAAGATATGAGAACTGGGGGTGGGGGTGGTGCCCAGGGCCCATAGGACTTCATGAGTCTGACTTGCCTAAAATAGAATTCTCAAGAGCAACCTCCAACCTGGAAACTCAAGTTTGCCTTTGGAAAGATTGACTTTTTCTTAGGAAATCTTTAATATCAAGAAACAATTCCCTGGAAATTGCGAAGTTGTCATCAACTGCAGGAGGCACTGTTGTCTGGAAACAGGCATCGTGGGCTGGGGCAGAGCTCATTGCTGGGTCACTGGCCTGCCGTGCACAGGGCCCTGGGTTTGAGAGCCATCACCACAGAATAATAGCAATAATAATTATAAAATAAGTAAAAGTCAGTCCCTTGGCAAGAGATAAACCTCAATGTGAGGAAGAAACAAGCTGCTATTTACAAAGTTGGACACTGAGCTCTTAGGACCACCCCCCACCTGCACCCCACAATGCTAAGATTATGTGAGGACAAAAATGTGGGTTCTCATGCTTGCACAGCAAGCAATATCAGCCACCAGGCCAGCTCTCCAGCCCCCAGGCTGCTTTATTTTTTAGACAAAATCTCATTCTATAGTCTAGCTGGCCTGGAATTCACCAGGTAATCAAGGGAACCTCAGACTCATGGTAATCTTCCTTCAGGCATGTGCCCCGCTGTTTCCATTTCTCTCCCAGAAGAAACAGAGGCTGAGGGACTGGGCACTCGGCTGGCTTCCTCTATCCTACTGACCACTGCACCCACCTGTTGGCCACGATGCTGGGGTAGTAGGCCTTCTGGTTCTCATCCACTTTTAGGTCACTCTGGCGAATGAAGCGCTCCTGCTCCTCAAAGGCACGGATGACACTGACCCCCAGCAAGGTCTCGTTGAAGTGTGAGTACACAGGGGAACGGCTAACAGACTCGAGGCGCTTCAGCTGTCGGGAGGAGGCCACATAGAACCTCTGTGGGAGAGAGAGAGGCACAGAATCAGTGCTAGCCCCTCGTGCCATCCTCCTGGGATATTCCGGGAGAAGCTTAGACGTGGCTGACCCATGGAGATGGGCTGCTTTCCTGGTGAACTGTGGAACAGGAATGTCAGTGACAGTAGCCACAGTTTCTTGGATGCATATCCCATTTTCCAACCTAGGCAGTGCTCTTTCTTGCTCTTGTGTGGAGACAAAGGGGTAAAAGTGGCCTCCTCTTTGGGTCCGTGCCTAAGCAGCAGCAGGATGAAATGACCTCCAGACTGCCTGGCCTCTCAGAAGCTCTAAATGTTTGGGGCTTTCCTCTACCAACAGTACAGGTTCAGGCAGACCTCTTTAGTCTTCATTTGCTCCTACCACAGAAATCCAGGCCTTGGTTTCTTCTGTATAATAGCAACACTAAAGCCATTTTGCACAGTAGACTATGAGGACAGCAGGTAAGAACTGTGAGTCTCACATGGCTATATGCACACTCATACATGTCAAGGATGGAACCCTGTGGATGCCACTAAACCAGGAGCCACTGCCTGTGTCAGCAGTTTCACACACATGGCAACTCCATGCCCTCCCATGTGCCCATCCCTATTCTCCTTCAGTTCATGCTCTCTTCTTTCATTCATCATTACTGAATGTCTGTAAGTGTGTGTAAACATATATACATTCCTAGATAGAACCTGTGAGTCCAAATGTTACCTATATGTATGTTTTCAGGGCTGACCCTTTGGCACTAGACACCCAACTGATGTGCTCTTCTTTGGGGAGGGCCACCTCTTCTGTTCCTAGCTGACAGGGATGGGGCCACAGAAAGGAATTGACATTGGTCTTCACTCTATAGGGTGACAAGCACAGGTCAGCAGGAGGCAGCGCCAGGTACAAAGAGTAGGGGCCAAGTCAGCAAGGGACAGGAGTGACCCCACTGAGAGAAAAGGAGACAAGAGTTGCTTAGTCTCCGAAAATGCCAAATGGGATGAAAAAAAAAAAAGAATACAAAGGCATCAACCCTTATATACACAAACTATACAGGTGTGCTGGCTAGTTTTATGTTAGCTTCACACACGCTAAAGTCATATGAGAGGATGAAACCTCAACTGAGAAAATGACTTCTTTAGGAGATTTTCTTAATTAACGATTGGTGGGGAGGGCCCAGTCCACTGTGTGTGTGGCGGGGGGAGGGGTGGAGGAAGTATCCCTGGGCTGGTGCCCTGGGTTCTAAAAGAAAGCAGGGTGAGAAAGCCATGAGGAACAAGCAGTGCCCTCCATGGCTCTGCATCAGCTCCTGCCTCCAGGTTCCTGCCCTGCTTGAGTGCCTGTCCTCTCTGTCATATGGAATGGTGAATGCAATTAACCCCTTCCTTCTCAAGTTGCTTTTTGTTATGGTGTTTCATCACAGCAAAAGTAGCCCTCAGCAGTGTGCCCAGCAGTTGCTATGAACACCAAACAAGCACTCAAACAGCAAACATCAAACAGCAACCATGTTCCAGCCTAGCTGAATTCTGCAGTTTTACCTATTACATAAGTTTCTTAGGAAAAGCACTTGTCATTTTTTAACTTTAAATCGTATATGATAATGATGATGAGTTTATGTATGTGTGCACAGTGTATGCATGAGCAGTATATATGCACACCCATGCCAGAATGCATGTGTGGAGGTCAGAGAGGTTCTCTCTTTCCATCTTGGGATGTGAGAATCAGGTTTGTGCAGCAAGAACTGAGCAAGTCCTATCTGCAAAAGTAAAGTATACTGACTAAGGTGGTTTGAGTAAAAATGTGCCTCACAGGCTTAAAAGTGTGAACACTTGGCCCCTAGTTGGTGGCACTGTTTGGGTAGATTTAGCAGGCATGGCCTTGCTGGAGGAAGAATGTCACTGGGGCAAGATCTGAGGTTTTAAAAGCCATGTACCATTCCCTGTCTGCTGTCTTGTCTCATAGTTCAAGATGTAAGCTCTCAGCAGTTCCTGCCATCACAGATGGTACTTGTGTTCATGTCTAGTAGACAGACAGACAGACAGATCGTGGAATATTCCTTTACACTGTGTGAATAAATGTCACTGTGACTGGTTTAATAAAGAAGCTGACTGACAAATAACTGGACAGGAAGAGTTTAGGCAGGACTGACAGACAAAAAGAGAGCATTAGAAAGAAGAGGAGGAGTCTCAGGAAGGAGGAGATAAACTTGCTATACTGAGAAAAGGTACCAAGCCAGGTAATAGAGTGTAGATAAGAAATATGGGTTAATTTAAAATGTAAAAGTTAGCTAGTGACAACCCTGAGCCCCTGAGCTTGGTACTGGCCAACTGCTATTGGCCAAACATTTGCAATTAATAATAAGCCTGTGTGGCTGTTTGAGAACAGGCTGGCAGGAAAGAAAATCTGCCTACAACAGATAGAATTGAGTATGATGATTAGACCTTTCTCAGAGAAGGTCAGTCACTGTGGGCACCAATCTATCTCAAACATCTATCTCAAAGTCACCTTTAGTAGTACACCTATTTGTGTGCTACACAAATACGGTTGTAATTAGTGACTGGAGCATTGATTAAAAGCCACCAAAAAGATCAAAGAAGCACACTTTTGAGTACAAGTGAGGAATTTTTCAGAGAGCATTAACTGAGGCCAGAAGACCCGCCCTGAATGTGAGAGCGACCATCTCATTCTGGGAGTCTGGATGAAGTCTGGATAAATAAAAAAGGAAGCTAGCACAAACATCTTCTGCTTCCTGACCATGCCACGCCCTCCCTACCAACATAAACAGACAGCACTAAAACTGTGAACAGAAGAAAATCTCCTCCCTTGAGTTGTTTAGGTCAGGTATTTTGCCACAGTACCATAGAAATGACAGCAGCTGTGGGTGACTATGGCAAAACACCTTCCACAATGGGTACTGCTTGGTCATCAGGCTTGGCTTTTCTAGGGATCAAACTCATGTACTCACGCGTGTGAGGCAAGCACTGTACTCTCACGGGGTTTTGAGGTCATGCCATTTCTAGTTCCCAGTGTTACACTCGAGGGATGGTGTGGCCTCTTTTGAACTGGAGCCTGCAAGAAGCTTTCCAGGCAGCATGAGCACATTTACCACATTTTGGGAAATGCAGCCAATAAACAGCCAGCACTGATTTAAAGAAGCGACAAGGCAAGTCCAAAGATGGACTTTCGCCCTACAATTCCATCTTTCTTTATGGTAATGTCAATGACCTGAAGTGTGATGGGGTCCAGGTACGAGACAGCAATACCAAGGTCCCCAGACTCTATGTGACAAGTATCCACAATTTGGTATTTTTACTTTTTTGTTTTGATTTTGAGACAAGGTTTGCTATGTAGCTTTGAACTTTCTGATGTGGGACTCTCCTCTGTATGCTGTGAATATGGTTTATTATCATTGTTTTATAAAGAAGCTGCTTGGTTCCCTGCAAGCTCCTTGGAACCCTGCCATACATCCTGTACCCAAACTTGGGGGACATAGGACATCCCTCGACATTTCTAGCTGCCAGAAGAGTGCTTGCCTGCTAGCCCTCAATCCACCCCACCCCCAACCTGCCTTTCCCTGCAAGTTCCATGGAACCCTGCCAAACACAACCTGTGCCAATACTGAGTGGACCTAAGAGACAGACACAGCAAGGATTGGACCAAGAAGCCAAGAGACTGCTGGCTTCATTTGAAGGAAGAGATGGGTAGGCACCAATGCAAGAATTCCTCCAACATCCTAAAAAACAACATGGTAACACCAGAACCCAGCACACACATAATAGGAAGACATGATCATCCTAACACAGAAGATGTAGAAGAAAACGACTTTAAATATAACTTTATGAAAATGATGGACACCTTTAAAGAGGAAGTGGAAAACTCCCTTAAAGAAATAGAGGAAAAGACAAACAGAAAGCTGGAAGAAATTAATAAATCCCTCAAAAAAAACCCAAGAAAACCAAGAGAAAAGCAATCAAACAGGTGAAGGAAACAGTTCAAGATTTGAACACTGAAATAAAGGCAATAAAGAAAACACAAACCGAGGGAATTCTGGATTTGGAAAATCTGGGTAAACGAACAGAAACTACAGAGACAAGTATAACCAACAGAATTCAAGAGATAGAAGAAAGAATCTCAAACACTGAAGATACCATTGAGAAAATAGACTCATTGGTCAAAGAAAACACTAAATACAACAAATTCTTAACACAAAACATTCAGGAAATCTGGGACACCATGAAAAGACCAAACCTAAGAATAATAGGGGTAGATGAAAAAGAAGAACTCCAGCTCAAAGGCACAGAAAATATACTCAACAAATTATAGAAGAAAACTTTCCCAACCTATGGAAAAATACCCCAATGAAGGAACAAGAAGCCCACAGAACACCAAATAGACAGGATCAAAAAAAAAATATCCCCTCATCATATAATAATCAAAACACAAAACATACAGAACAAAGAAAGAATATTAAGAGCTGCAAAGGAAAAAGGTCAAGAAACATATAAAGGTAAACCTAACAGAATTACATGTGACTTCTCAATGAAAACCATGAAAGCCAGAAGATCCTGGATAGATGTGCTGCAGACACTAAGAGACCATGGATGCAAGCACAGACTACTATACCCAGCAAAGCTTTCATTCACCATTAATGGAGAGAACAAGATATTCAATGACAAAAACAGATTTAAACAATACATATCCACAAACCTAGCCTTACAGAAAGTATTAGACAGAAAAACCTCAACCCAAGGAAGTTAACGACACTCACAATAACACAGACATCTGATAAATCCCCCACCAGTATAACCCAAAGAAGGGAAACATACAAACACTACTCCCAAAAGATAACCGGAGTTAACAACGACTGCTCATTAATATCGTTTAAAATCAATGGACTCAATTCACCTATAAAAAGACACAGGCTAAGAGAATAGATATAAAAACAGGATCCAGCATTCTGCTGTTTACAAGAAACACACCTCAACCTCAAAGACTTCCTCAGAGTAAAGGGTTAGGAAAAAGGTTTTCCAATCAAATGGACCTAAGAAACAAGTGGGGGTGGCTACCTTAATATCTAACAAAATTTATTTCAAACTGAAATAAATCAGAAGAGATGGAGAAGGAAACTTTATACTCATAACAGGAACAATTCATCAAGATGGAGTCTCAATCCTGAATATCTACGCCCCTAATACAAGAGTATCCACATATGTACAAGAAACATTACTAAAACTGAAATCACACATCAAACCCCACACACAACTAGGAGGAGATCTCAACACTCCTCTCTCACCCATGGACAGGTCAACCAGACAGAAACTTAACAGAGAAATAAGAGAACTAACAGATGTAATGAACCAACATCTATAGAACATTCCACCCAAACAAAAAGAATATACCTTCTTCTCAGCACCTCATGGAACCTTCTCGAAAATTGATCCCATAATCGGTAACAAAGCAAACATCCACAGATACAAAAAAATTGGAGTAAACACCTGTGTCTTATCGGATCACCATGGAGTAAAGTCAGAATTTAACAACAATTCCACCCCTGGAAAGCCTACAAACTCATGGAAATTGAACAGTCAACTACTGAACCACCCCTGGCTCAAGGAAGAAATAAAGAAATAAATTAAAACTTTCCTTGAATTCAATGAAAATAAAGGCACAACATATCCAAACCTATGGGGCACTATGAAAGCAGTGCTAAGAGGAAAGTTCATAGCACTAAGTGCCCACTTAAAGAAAACAGAGAAAGCTCACATTAGAGAATTAACAGCATGCCTGAAAGCTCTAGAAAAAAAAAGCAGCAGACTCACCCAGGAGGAGGAGAAGACAGGAAATAATCAATTGAGGGCTGATATCAACAAAATAGAAACACAGAAAACCATACAAAGAATCAATGAAACAATGAGCCAGTTCTTTGAGAAAATCAACAAGATTGGAAAACCCTTATCCAAACTAATCAAAAGGCAAAGAGAGAACAACCAAATTAACAAGATCAGAAATGAAAAGGGGGACATAACAACAGACACTGAGGAAATTCAGAGAATCATTAGGTCCTACTACAAAAAGATGTACTCCACAAAATTGGAAAATGTAAAAGAAATGGACAATTTTTTTAGATAGATACCATATACCAAAATTAAATCAAGACCAGGTGAACAATTTAAATAGACCTATAAGTCGCGAGGAGATAGAAGCTGTAATCAAAAACCTCCCAACCAAAAAAAGCCCAGGGCTAGATGGTTTTAGTGCAGAGTTCTACAAAAACTTTCAAGAAGAGCTAATAATGCCTATACTCCTTAAAGTGTTCCACATAAAAGAAACAGAAGGCTCATTGCCAAACTCTTTTTATGAAGCTACAGTTAACCTGATACCAAAAACGCACAAAGACTCAACCATGAAAGAGAATTACAGACCAATCTCACTCATGAACATGGATGCAAAAATTCTCAATAAAATATTGGCAAATCGAATTCAAGTACACATCAAAAAAAAATCATCCATCATGATCAAGTAGGATTCATCTCAGAGATGCAGGGCTGGTTCAACATAAAAAAAATATATCAATGTAATCCATCACATAAATAAACTGAGGAGTGATGTGGGAGTGTCATATATCAATCTGTTGATTTCATTGGCTAAGTAATAAACAAACTGCTTGGGCTCATAGCTTAGAACATAGGTAGACGGAGTAAACAGAACAGAATGCTGTTAAAGCCTGTTTTTTTTTTTTTTTTGTTTAAACCGAAAAAAGGGGAAATGATGGAGGAAGGTCATTGGTTAAATAAAAAGAAACTGCTTGGCCCTCATTGGTTAGAAGATAGGTGGGAGGAGTAAACAGAACAGAACGCTGGGAGAAAGAGGAAGTGAGCTCAGACTCCACAGCTCTCCTCTCGGGAGCAGACGCCTCAGAGAGACACCATGCTCCCCGCTCCAGGGAAGATGCACGTGATGAGGCTCCGACCCAGGATGGACATAGGCTAGAATCTTCCCGGTAAGCGCACCTAGGGGCGCTACACAGATGATTAGAAATGGGCTAAATTAATATGTGAGAATTAGCCTAGAAGAGGCTAGATAGAAATGGGCCAAGCAGTGATTAAATGAATACAGTTTGTGTGTTGTTATTTCGGGCATAAGCTAGCCAGGCAGCCGGGGTGCTGGGGACGCAGCCCCGCCGCCCTTATTACTACAGTCAGACTGATATTATCTTAAATATCACCATAGAACCTTGGTCCAACAACAGATGGGAACAGAGGCAATGACCCACATCAGAGCACTGGACTGAGCTCCCAAAATCCAGTTGAAAAGTGGAAGGAGTGAGAGTGTGAGAAAGGAATTCAAGACCATGAGGGGTTCATCCACTGAGACAGTTTACTTGAACTAATGGTAGTTCACCAACTCCAACTAGACTGGGAGTCAACTCTGAAGGGGGTTAACAGTTGGGGCAGACTGAGTGGCCACTGATAGTGACACTGGGATTTGTCTCTATGGCTTGTACTGGCTTCTTGGGATCCTATTCTCTTTGGATGTAAGCCTTGCTCAACCTAGATGTAATAGGGAGGGCCTTAGACTTTCCATAAGGAGGGGTGCATGGCCCTTTCTTAAGACTGGAGGGGAGTGGGGTGGGAGGGCTTGTGAAGGGAGTAGGAGGGGAGTGGGAGGAGGGGAGGGAGTGGGAATTTGGATTGGTATTTTTTAAGTAATAAAATAATAATAACAATAATAATAACAATAACAGTAATAATAATAATAATAAATAAAGAAGCTGCTTTGGCCTATGGCAGAGCAGAATAGAGCTTGGAAAAACTAAAATGAATGCAGGGAGAAAGAAGGCAGATTCAGGCAGACACCGAAGAAGGACACCAGAACCTTTCCAGTAAGCCACAGCCTCATGACAATACATAGATTAATAGAAATGTATTAATATATTAATTTAAGATATAAGAGCTAGGTAGAAATACGCCTAAGCCTTCAGCCAAACAGTGTTGTAATTAACATAGGTTTTGTGTGATTATTCGGACCTGGGCAGCTGTAAAATGGAAGAAGAGTCCCTGATTATAACATTACACACTCCTGTCTTGAGTTCCCTGAGTGCTGGGACAACAGCAGGTGCCACCAGGTGTTAGTTTACATTGATATTACCCCACCCCCCGCAACAATCTCAGCAGCCAACCTTACAAATGAATGACTAAGCACAAACCACACAGACCCGGGGTCCCACTCTTGGCTCTGCCACCTGAGAAAAATGCTTCCTCTTTGAGTCTCTCTACCCTCTCACCTGTCATCTTAAACTGTAATGTAGGCAGAAACTGACCAAGTAAGTATGCATGTGCAAAGAAAAGGTGATTTCTACAAATGGGACAAGGTATGAACCAGAACAGCTGCCCCTCTCAAGAGGAAACTGGTTCTGAAAGACTAATGTACCAAGTCCTTCCTTGCAAATAGTGGCCACACAACTCATCTTGAGGACCAGAGGATTTAAACGAGTACTTCTGATCCAACGGCCATATGTTCCCTCTTCTGTTCTCTTAATGATCTGTGTCTGAACTATAAATATGATAGACATGAAAGAGGAAACTTTGGCGAGCATTCTGGACCATGAGGCCAACTTAAAGATTGACGACTTCTGTAAAGACAGCAAAGCAGAACTAAAAAAAAAAGGGGTGTTCGCAGCAGCAACAACAGCCTGGGTGCCACCTGACCCATAGGGCCACACCAGTCTCGAAATGAGCTGTCTCCTAATATGCTATATATGCATCAGCATTCACCCTGATGAGGCTGCTGTTTTTCATGACTCCACTGTAGAATTCTGTTCTTCAGTCTATTAACAACTGACTGCACAGCTGCGAGCTGTCCCCTAATATAGCGCTCCAAAGAGTTAAACGAATAAGAATGTGCATTTGTCTCCTGCAAACAAAACAGCCCTCTTAGTTATTCACAACAGAGCCCAGTGCTGTGTTCACATTCCCACCGTCCCTCCTGGGATATGGCACACAAGGGAGCATCTGTGGTTCACCTGCACAAAGAAGTAGACAAGGCCCAATGGTGGGATGACGACAGCGGCGATGGGTGTGGCCAGCAGGATGATAATGACAGCTCCAATGACGCTGAAGAGCGAGCCCATGAACATCTTGATGACCTGCGGGATCATGGAGTCCACTGTGTCCAGCTCCTTGGAGAAACGGTTTACTAGGTTCCCACTGGGTGTGCGCTCAAAGAAGCTCATGGGCGAGCGCAGGACATTGCGCAGCAGGTCCAGGTGGAGATGACGGGAAGCAAAGATGCCTCCAATGGACACAGCCATGGAGTAGCCAAATACTGAGACACCTAGGATGGCAACAGAGATGTGAGTGTAAGATACAGAAGTGTGGTCTGCTGGCCGGCACTGGGTCCCTCAGAAACCAGCCCTCACTGTGTACTACACACTGGGATTGAGTTTCTGAAGAAATGAATTTTCTTTTAACTTCAATGAACTAAAATTCAAATCACCTCCCATGACTGGAGGCTACTGTGCCAGACAGCACAGCTCTTGTAGCAGATACTGATTCTGTGTGAACCCATGGAAACATCTTCTCTGTTCTTTGCTCTCTCTAAAATCTAATATGAAGGCTGCTGCAGTCTCTGGCTCTATGGCAGGCAGAAGTAGGCTACACATAGAGAAACTCAAGGCATCCACACCTGATCATCTGACGGCCTGTTCCAAAACCACCTCAGAGGTCAGGAGACATCTGTGGCTCCTCCAAATACCCCCTGGGTCACAGATTTCTTTTGGGGACTTCTATGTGAGGCTCATTCACCAATAACAGGGGAAGGCAAACTGAAGTTGGCGCTGCCAACCCTGTTCAGCTGGGGGCCTCTCATGTCAATCTATGTGAGTCACCTCACCTGTATAATAGGGACAGTGACACTCAAAACCACAACCAGTACTAAGTGCCTTCCTGGCAGCATGCCTGGACACAGGAAAGCTCTCACACAAGAAAGACTCACTTAACCACCCACATGAGTGCATCAGGGACACAGAAAGGGCATGTGTGTACAAAGCAGTTTTATGAGCATCTAGATCACATCTAGATCACACACTGCCTGGCACAGCTTCAGAGTGAACTCCAGAGCTAGGCTGCTTCATTTGATGCCAACTCAGCCAGCAATCAGCTCCTTGAGCTAACTGGGGCGGGGAAGGGGTGGGCATGAATTCAGCAAGCATTCAGAGTTCACCATGTGGCAGATTTTGTCCATGTACGTCTGGCTCAGTTAGTAGTTGTAAATTCCATGAGGTCTTGGGGTCTCAGTTAAGAAAGGACACATGAAGTAAGCATAGCCATACCTTGTAAGATGCCCAAGGCCCCATAGACACTCAGTCGGTACGTCCTGTGCTCCTGAGTCCCATTGACAGTAGGGTGGTCATCTGTCCAGAGGCTCAGCCAATAATTGGAGGCCAGTGCAGACACATGGTTGCATAGGAAGAGGAAGATACTCAAGAAGGAGATGAAGAGGCCAATGGCCTTCATGTAGTCCCAGTACACTGACAGCTGCACCTAGGACCCGTAGAGTGCCAGCATGAGGTTAGCAGCTCCTGTGTGATCTTAAGCCCAGCCCACCCTCCTGGGTCTAGACCCTTGATACCCTGCTGACCCATTAATGATGTCAGGCAGGAGTAGCAAAGCCAGACTTCCTGCCTCCCACAAGAGCTTCCAGCAAGCACTCGGACAGCCTAATGCTCCATCATTACCCATAGAAACACATAGAGAAGAGTCATAAGAGGCCATTCAAGTGCGCAGGTGGGTAGGGACCAGGGGAGGTTCTCCCTGAGGAAGTGATGTTGAAGAGTTTACCAGCTACGAATGGAAACCAGGAAGGGGAGGGGGTGACCCACAGGTGTAAGGCCCTGATATATGAGGGAGCTCAACACATTTGGGGAAGTGATGAGAAGATGGAGAAATGGTTGTAGCCTGGGAGGTCCCGTTCAATACTCCAGGCTGCTCATGGCCAAGCAGTAATGAGCACAGGCAGAGACTAGAGTACCAACATGGAGTCAGCAGCTCAGATCCAAACTCCAGCAAAAGTCACTTAACCTCTCTGGTTTTGGCATAGAACCTAAACATAGAGCCCTGGCAGACTTGCCATCCGATAAATACACGCATTCCCATATGCCAAGCAAAGCACTCTGCACTGTGCCTCACTCACCTGCCCTGTCTGTGCCTTGTCTGCTTCCATCAGCTTCCAAGTCTCCTCCTTGACTCCAGCCTTCTGCAGTTCGGCTGTGCTGCTATGCTGCTGACCAGCATCCCCACTGTGGGAAGAAGAGCCGCTGAGATGCCTGTTGTCAAGGAGGGTAGGATGCCAAAGCCTTGGGGAGTGCCAGCACACACATGAACACACATATACACTTGTGCCCCTGTGGCACTCCCCAGAAGAATGTGTTTCCATGGGAAGAGATATATATATATATGTCAGGAATGGGTACGTATGAAGGGCAATGGGCAGAAGGTGTGAGGAACAATCTTTCGTGTACAGAAATGACCTGGGAGTGGAGGTGTAGCTCAGTTGGTAGAATGAAGCTCTGGGTTCCATCTAAAGCACAGCATAAACTAAGCACACACCTGTAATCCCATCAAAGAGGTAGAAACGTGAGGACCAGGCATTCAAGGTTATCCTTAGTTATCTGTTCAGTCCAAGGCCAGCCTGGGATTCACAAGCCTGCTGTTGTGGAATATGAATTGAAGATGTGCTACATTTTTTTATGCTGTGGAACGTTTGTTTAACTCTGTGAAGCTATGTTACTTTGCCTGTCTAAACACCTGACTGGTATAACAAAGAGCTAAACAGCCAATAGTTGGGCAGGAGAAAGAATAGGCAGAGCCAGCAGGCAGAGAGAATAAACAAAAGAAATCTAGGAAGATCGGAGAACATTAAAAGGAGGAGAGGAGGATGCCAAGGTACCAGACACCCAGACATGGAATAAGAGAGAAATAAAAGATATATAGAAATAGAGAAAGGTAAAAGCCTAGACACAAAAGGCAGATGAGATAATTTAAGAAAAGCTGGCTAGAAACAAGCCAAGGCTGAGCATTCTTAAGAAAGAACAATCATCTGTATTTATTTGAGTTGGGTGGTGGGACACCAAAGAGTAAAGAACACTGGTTCAAATCTCAGCTGGGGGTCTCTAGAGCTGCCCAGCTGGTGAGTCTCCATCTGCTTGCTGTGAGATGGGAGCAGGCCAGCAGGGAATTGGAAACCACTAGACTTCAGGCCAACAATGTGTCCAGCTCCCAGACCACTGTGACTGTCCGTGATCATATACTGGCTCACAAAGCCCAACATGCCAGGCCCCATTTCCAGGTACCCAAGGAAAGACATAGATCAGTTTCAGAAGTAGGAACAAACAAATGAAAGGCAGGCCTGTGTGAATTATAGGTCAGTGCTGGCTCCTTCCTGAGAAGGTTCTTGAAGGATGGAGATCAGGCAGGACGCGCACGTCTTCCAAATCCCTGAGACTGTGGTGGATGAAGTGGAGGTGCTACCTGTCTCTTCTGAGTTCCCACAGGCAGAGATACAGGGCCAGAAGCAACGCAGGGTCAGACGCTCTCCCCGTGCTTACCTCTGAGGGTGTTTCCCCACTGGCACCAGCATCCCATTCTCCACTGGCTTTGACTCCTTCCCTGAACCACTGACACCTGGCAAAGACAGGAAGAGGGGAGAATGTGGCATCAACAGCTGGGTATGGCCAAACAAAAGACCAGGAACCCAGTCACTTCCAGAGTAGACAACAGTGACTTTGGCTGCCAGGGAGCTTGAGAAGACAGAACCACATTGATGCAAGCTCCATCCACAGCTCAGTCCCTCAGGGAGGTATGGGGTAAATGTCACCAGGAGCCACTTACCATTTACCCAGGGTAAATGGGTAAAAAAGGAAGTCTCGGGGAGATGCTCGAACCAAGGTAAGGAGGGGAGACAGGGCCAAGTGTGCTAGACTCTAAGCACCCAGTAGGGGGAGACGTTTAACAAGAAATTCACACCCAGCTGCTGGGATTAGTACTGTAGCTTTTCCTTCAGACCACTAGAGGCAGAATGAAAATTAACAGCCAACAAGCAGAAGCAACCTGTCCCCAGGCCCATGAGTGAGTAAACTATAAGTCTAAAATACACTGTAGCACAATGAAGAATTATGCAATCATGGAAGGAGGTGTGGCTTCAGTGCAGACAAGCCTTGAGAATACAAAACTCAAAGAAGCCAGAAAATACCATGTATTGCTGACATGGATAGTTCAGAGTGGATAGTCCACAGAGAAGGAATACAGAAGCAGCTATCGAGGGACTCTGGAAAAAAAAAGAAAAAAAGAAAAAAAGAAAAATCTGGCAGTGTGTATATGGGCTTGTGAATGGGTCTGGGGTTTCCTTTGGGGAGACAAGAATGTCCTAAAGTTAATTATGGTGGCTACAGTACATTAACAAATACCAGTTGACACAAACCAACAGACATTTGGTTCGTATTTGAATTATCGCCCAATAAAGGTTTTTGATTTTCTGTCTCAAACTCCCAGTGATCCACCTGCCTGAGCCTCCCAAGTGCTGAGATTGCAGGTGTGCATTACCACACTTAACATCTTAATATAACATTTATTAAAAACTATTATGATATGGTGTGCATGGTAGAACGTGTCGTTAATCCCAGCACCAAGAAAATGGATCTTTTTTGAGTTCAAGGCCTACCAAATCTACACAGAGAGTTCCAAGCCATCCAGGACTGCATAGCGAGACCTGTCTCAACCTCCATGACACCCTAATGGTGAGGGCCTCACTCCTCTCACATGAGAGATCAGATGAGAGTCGCCTTTAGACCAGAGTTCTCTTCTCTGACATTCAAGGATTTGAGGGTTTCCCTGCCTGGCCAGGAGAGGTGACTCAGCAGTTAAGAGCACTGACTGAGTGGGTTTGATTCTCAGCACCCACACGGTGGCTCAGGACTGTCTTTAACTCCAGTTCCAGAGGATCTGACTCCTTCTCTGGTCTCCTGCACACCGTATCATATTTACACTCAAGTTCACTTTTACATATACACTTAAAACAAAAATGAACAATAATAGAGTTCCCCACTAAATTTAGACTAAAATTCAAAACTACTCCATCAAGGCCCTCACTCCTATCTCTTACCCCGATTCCCTTGCCTAACCTGATCTGTCCTCAATAGCCTCGTCCTGAGGCCTTTGCACATACCTAGATAGTCTCTGGGTTGGCTCCTCCCCATGTCTATCAGTGCCTCGGAGAGGCTCCCAGAGCCTATGCTGAATCCTGACTGCATAAATCTGTCTTCTACCTCTACAGTTTAGGGTTCACTAAGAGAGGGATTTTCATATTATCTTGTCCCCAAACCTGAACCTCTCCCCCTAAGTTCCATGTGAAGCCCTCACCCCCAGCCTCAGACTGTGACAATGTCTGAGGTGAGTCACCCTGCAATCAGGTGGCCCAACCTCCACTTTACTGCTTCCTTTACAAAGACCTGACTGTGAACCACGCATGGCGGTGCATGCCTGGAGCTCCAGCACTTTGCGAAAGGAACCCTGTGGGTGAAGGAGGGGTGAAGAATGTGAATGTGAAGAGAGGGACCTGAGCACAGCACAGCCCCACACTGTACAGCCAACTTCCAGACTCAAAGCTCTGACACAGGAATTGCTTTCAGGGGAAGGAGTGTAGTATGGGCCTGCACTGGGTGGTTTTGGGGTCAACTTGACACAAGTTGGAGTCCTCAGAGAAGTGAGCCTCAGTTGAGAAAATGCTTCAACAAGATCTAGCTGTAAAGCATTTTCTCAGTCAGTGAGAAAACAGGGAGGCCCCAGCCCACGGTGGGTGGTGCCATGCCTGGGCTGCTGGTCCTCGGTACTTTAAGAAGGTGGGCTGAGCAAGCCAGGGAAAGCAAGGTAGGAAGCAGCTCCCCTCCACGGCCTCTGCATCAGCTCCTGTCTCTGAGAGCTTGCCCAGTCTGGGTTCCTGTCCTGACTTCCTTCAGTGATGAACAGCAATGCTGAAGAGCTTTTTGGTCATGGTGTCTCATCATAGCAATAGAAACCCTAACTAAGACAGGACCTGAAAAAGCAAAAGCACTTCACATACAGTAGGTGCTCCATAAATGCTCAAATGGCCAGGTAAATGGACAGCAAAAACATTTTTCTTAGTGACACCAAGGTCTCAGGCCAGCCCTTAGGACTGTAGGCTACCACCTGCAGGTTTCCCATTCATTGGCTCTGATGAGAGTTTTACCCCTGGGAAATTATGCAACGGGAGTGGCCCTACAGCTCTATCTGAGGGCCATGTTCCAAAGATCTATCTGGGATGTGTAGGATAGCATGCATGTCCCATAGAGGATCTGGCTAGATGGGGGGTCGTCAAACAAGTTTCAGACATTTTACAGTAGCTGTAACCAAAGCAGTTCATAGGGGTGTCCCTGTGGGCTGTAGAGCAGGCATTAGCTGGCATCATCTCTGTCAACTGCGGCCACTGCTCCCCAGATGCAGCTAACCAGAGGGTCCTCTGAGAGCCTGTGTGATTAATAGAATAGGAGGCTACCTGAGAAGGCTGCAGATCGTCCCCAATCTGCTAGTCACTGAGGCTGCTGGAGTCTAGCACCTGCTTCCTAAGTCCCCCAGCAACCACGTCTGCAGGGGCAGATTCAACTGGCACATAAACCTTGTGCCAACAGCACAGGCCCAGGACAACAGGTGGGGTGCTATAACAGTCAGGTCTGCGGTGTCATGTGCCAGGGGAAACAATACAGCTACAGTTATTAAGCACGCAGGATGTCCCATATACCCAAGACCACACTAATCACCAGCACATGTCAGGCTGGCCCTGCATTGCTCTTTGGAGGTAGCAGGGACAGAGACACAGCTAGGAGGGTCTTACGGAGGGGCCCTGAGCCACAAAGTTCTGAGGAACATGGCCACTATGCGTGTTCACATTCTATGAGCCTCATGCTTTTCTGGGCTACATCATGGCTGTCACTGGAACTCAGGCCCCTGGGAACAGAGAAAACTATAATTATTATTGTCCCCATTTTATTTATTTATTTATTTTAAAGATTTATTTATTTATTATGTAGACAGCATTCCTTCCATGTATGACTGCAGGATTCCAGATCTCATTACAGATGGCTGTGAATCATCATGTGGTTGCTGGGAATTGAACTCAGGTGTCACGCCCCATCTCGTCCAGCAAGGATGACGCGACCACCGGAGCTCTTCTCACTGCAGTTTATTCCAGGACTTTATTCACTTTCTCTCTCTTTTCCCCTCTCTCTCTCCTTCCTCTCTCTCTCTCTTCCCTTCTCTCCTTCCTCTCTTTCTCCTCGGGCAAACCTCTCCCAGCCCTTAAGTAGGCATGGGCTGCCAATCCCGATTGCCAGGTGGGCACTGCCCATAGGCCCATGCATATGCAAGCAGCTGAGTGATCAGGCATAAGTCAGACTTTAGCCATAGGAGTTGATTATACATCTCCATCAGGTGTGGCTCTATGCTGCTCGCTACACTCAGGACCTCTGGAAGAGCAGTCAGTGCTCTTAACCACTGAGCCATCTCTCCAGCCCTATTGTCCCCATTTTAGCCATTGAGGAGTCTAAAGTCCAGAGGAGAAAGTACTTTACAGGAAGGACAGAGACTAATCTTGAGTTCACAAAGCCAAAGCCCAACCCTGTGTACCTGGGTGTCAAGCGCTGAGAACCCTTTCTACCTGACCTGCAAGGTTAAGCAGGTTTATCCATTTGTTGGTCTCCCAAAGCCCAATGTGCTTGTCACCCAATACTCGCAGGTACACACAGATATCAGGTATATACACAGATACCAGGGCACAGATAAACCCTCCCATAAGCAGCTATGATGATCAGAGTCAGTTCCTGAAAGTCCCCCTGCCATCCTTACTGTCATCCTCTGAGGCCAGGTCCTGCTCAGCACTGGCATAGGTGCGCAGGAACTCAGCGAAGGCCCCATCCCGGTCTAGCAGCTCCTGGTAGGAACCCATCTCTGATATCTTGCCGCCACTCATAACAATGATGACATCCACTTGGGGCAGGGAGCTGATGCCATGGGTGACCAGGATCCGTGTCTATAAGCAAAGCAGAGACCTGACCCCATCAGCACCATGAAGGAAACTGTCACAGCCCTGTAGATACTAGAGGTAGTTTGGATCTTGGGACCCAGTGGCATTGCTCAGGTCCAATGGTTTTGGGGGAACACACACACCACACATACACAATATCTCTCTCTCTCCTCTCTCTCCTTCTCTCCCTCCCTTTCTCCCTCCCTCTCGCTGTCACTCTGTCTCTCTCTGGAGGGCGCACCCTGTGTCAGGCAGAAGCAGCAGGGGACAAAGCCAGCAGAGCCCTTCTTGGACTCCAGAGAAGGAGACAAAATGAACCACAGGCTAGAACCAGTGCTGGAGGGGGCAGTGTGAAGAGAAGGGTAATTCAGAGAGTTGGGAAGAACCATTTGAATAGGAAACTCTAAGAGGGAGGCAAACACCACCCAAGAGTGTAGATGAAGGAACTGTGAGGTAACCACACAAATCTGCATTTGACAGTCCCACTGTGTTTGCAGTGCTAAGAACTAAATTCAAGTCCTGTGACTTGAAGCAGGCACTCTACCACTGGGCTTCAACTCCAGCCCTTGTCTATGTAGGCCAGGTAATCTCAGCCTCCTCAGTGCTGAGCTAACAGGTGTACTCCACCATGCCTGACTCTGATGTTTGTGTTTTGCACAGTAACTTTCACTATCTTTCCACTCAAACAAACCCACCACAAAACCCGTCTATGCTGCACAGTTCTGCCTGTGCTGGCATGCTGATCAAATACATGTGTACAGACTGTCAACAGATGATAGTCTCTTCTTCAAGAGCCAGGTGGCAACTGCCATTCTTTAGAAGTTGATACTCACAGCATACCATCTCTAAGGGAAAGGGTAGGAATATCTGCTTTGGTTTTGCTGTTTTTCCTCAAATCTCAGCATTCCTTCCTACACACATTTCTACTTTATAATCAGGAAGAACCAGTATGTTCCTCCATCATTCTTAAAAAAAAAAAAAAATCAAAACAAAACCCAGGATTACAGCCTCTGTATCCTATCTGGTTAAGGCTGGCTGAGTCACCTTCCTGCCCCAAGCTCCACCTTCAGTCTCAGCCTCAGCCCTGCTTTCCACGGGGAAGGAATGCCAGCTTTACTGGAGGTCTGTGTGGTCTCATGAGGAAGAAAGGTCCTTTAACCAATGAGGCAATGGATTCAAGTGAGGACAATAATTCATCCTATAAAGACCTGGTAAGATACCTGTTGTGGGGAGCTGACAGATGGTTAGTTCATAAAGTGCTTGCCACACAAGGACCTGAATTTGATCCCCAGAATCCATGTGAAAAAGGCAGACATGGTGGCAGACTCCTGTAGTTCTGTTACCAGGCAAGCAAAGACAGGAGGATCTTTTGGGGCAACATAGTTTAATCGGTGAGCTCTAGGTTCAGGAAGAGACCTTGTCTTAGGAAGAGACCTTTTCTTAAAGAACAAGGTGCCTGAGCAAGGACACCCATGGTTGATTTCTGGTCTCTACCTGCATACATACATGCATGCGCACCAGTACATACTGATTTGTGTGACAGCTTGACACAAGCTAGAGTCATCAGAAAGGAAGGAGCCTCAGTTGAGGAAATGCCTCCATGAGATCCAGCTGTAAGATGTTTTCTCAATTATGACCAATTGTGGAGGGCCCACACCATGGTGGGTGGTACCACCCTGGGGCTGGCACCGGGTTCTGTAAGAAAGCAGGTTGGCTAGGCAATGCTGGCGCATGCCTTTAATCCCAGCACTAAGGAGGTAGAGGCGGCCAGATCTCTGTAAGTTCAAGACCAGTCAGTTCTACAAAGTAAGTTCCAGGACAATTAGAGCTGTTACACAGAGAAACCCTATCTCGAAAAAATTGAGAGAGAGAAAGAGAAAGAGAGAGAGAGAGAGAGAGAGAGATATCAAACAGGCTGAGTAAAACATGGCCTCTGCATCACCTCCTGCATCCCTGCCCTGTTTGAGCTCCTGTCCTGGCTTCCTTCAGTGATGAATAACGATGCTGAACGCAAGCCAAATCAACCTTTTCCTCCAGAACTTACTTTTTAGCCATGGTGTTTGGTCACAGCAACAGAAACCCTAACTAAAACACATACATATTGTGCACACGTGAGCACACACACACACAAAGCATGAAGGCAAGCCCAAGAATTGAGGACTTGTCCAGAGCGGCAGTGCCAATTAACTGAAGTCCTGGTTCTGGGAGATACCTTGTTCTTCAGGAGGCCCATGGGACCAACCACCTTCTCAAAGATGTGCTTCCCAACATGTGCATCCACAGCCGAGAGGGGGTCGTCGAAGAGGTAGATGTCGGAGTTACAGTACACAGCTCGGGCCAGGCTCACACGCTGCTTCTGGCCCCCTGACAAGTTCACACCCTAGGAAGACAGTGAGGAGAGTGGGCATCTTGGGATCCTGAACAATCCTAAGGGACCCCAGAACCATACAAAACAAGAGTGGGGACAGAAGAGCTGCTGAGTGGGGTGCCTGACCCCTAACAAATGCTCAGAGAAGGGAAGCAGACAGTTGTGTCTGCTGGCATAGGTCTTTTGGCCCAGCTACTCAGAGGCTGAGGCAGGAGGATGGCAAGTTCAAGACCAACCTAGGCAACATCTCAAGTGAAACATAAAAAGAGCGCTGAGGACGCAGCTCAGACCAAGTGCCTGGCTGCACAATGGTCTGGGTCTGGTCTCCAGTGCCACAAGAAAGAGGAGGTGGCGGCAGCTCATGACAGCCTACAGAAGCATCTGTAGAAGACACAGTGGGTGTGGCAAAGATACTACTTTCTGTATACCTGTTCTATTATTGCACTGCAGCTGACATCACTGCTGTTAGCAGCCAATCTGTGGTGCGCTTCACTCTGAGCTGCTATTCCTATTGCAGCCACACAGAGAAGCTGACTGGAGCCAGAGTGCTGAGACCCAGCCAGTAGTGTGGAGACAGGGTGCAGCACTGAGCAGCAGCAGAGACCACCACCATGACCACGTGACCACAACAGCGACCACCACCATGGCCACACGACACCTACTGAATAAACTGCCCAAACCTGTAGAGATGGACGCTCCCTTCCTGTGCAGCCTGCCCTGTCTTCCTGTGCTGAGGCTAGCCCTGGGCCTGTCCAGACACACTGTCTTCCTGTGCTGAGGCTGGTCCCAACACACCTATCTTTTCTTTGCAGTGCTAGGGATGAAGCTCGGGGCTTTGCACATACTAGACAAGTGCTCGACCACTAAGGCACACTGTTAGCCATTTTTCGTATTTTATTTTCAGATGGGGTCTTGCTAAGGTGGCCTCAAACTCATGATTCTGCTGCCTCAGCTTCCTGCATTCTGGGATGATGGGTCCAGCTACAAAGGTCCCTTCCAATGGCCCCTGGACACAGCTTACTGACCTGAAGGCAGATGTAGTACCCAAGATTTAGTCAATTCTTGACTCCCTCCAGACTTTGCCACTAAAGCTGGAGGGGGACTGCGGCAGAAATTACTGCCAGCCTGGCACCAGAGGGTTAGCAAGTAACTCCCACCGGTCCATATCTGGCCTAGCTCCGGAGTAGGCACACAGTTCTAATCCATCCTATATGTTACAGACACCTTTTGTTGCCCTATGTGAATCTTGTCTGAGAGTTTCCCATGGATACAAAGTCAATGCAAAACTTGGTTTAGAAGGAACCCGGAAAACCATGGTACCTCATGAATCAGGCAATTGCACCTGGCGTTGTATTTTTGGAAACTTCATTCAGTTTGTTTTGAGATATGGAAATCTACTAGCTAAAGTGTAAATATAGGGAAAAGATAAAGATGCTGGGAGGTAAAGGGTAAGGCTTTTCACAGAGACTGAGCCCACTGCAGCTGCAGAGGCTAAGTTTGCTCTCATGTGTCTCTGACCCCCGTGAACCACACACCACGCTGAGTTATCCAGCGTCTCCGAGTACTAGATCTCAGCATTTATAAAATGGAGCAAGGCTGATGAGCAGGCTGCCTACCCACAGCCTGTCCTGGAGACCCTGGCAATCCTGCCTTGGATCCCACACAATACTTAGACCCTTCAGTTTAGTTAACACCTCCAACCTGTAAAAGACATCATTTATCAAATAAACAAGGTGGATGGATCTTGGCTGGAGACTGGGAGCACACAAATCCAGCTCTCCCGAGAGGTCCCTGTCACTGTGACTGCAGACCTAGCACATACACAGGACAACCACTTGCACAGAACTGGGGGACACACCTAAGGCCCTCTTCAAAAGTGGGAGTGCAACAGGTGGCAAGAGGGATGTAAGAACCTCTGTCTCTTTGCTATGTGACTCAATCACAGGCAAGTCCCCTAACCTCTCTGAGCCTCCCTTTTGTCAGCCGCCCATCAGGGATCACATGAGTTGCTGTTCAGATGACTTAAGTTAAAAATGTTAGCATGGCAGCAGAGAAGTGGGTGTCAGCTAGTCCAGAGCTGTTTGCATCGTCACTCACAGACACACCCCCAAGGTGCACTGTTTGCATCGTCACTCACAGACACACCCCCAAGGTGCACTGGATGACTGATGAGGGAATAACCACTAGTGTCTTGTGCTGTGTTGGGAAAAGCACAGCACACCTTTTTATTTTTAAGAGTCTGAATCACTATTTGAAAGGATGCCACTTGGGAGGCTGTTGACACCTCAACTCAGACCACAGCACCAAGAGTCAGACGGGATAGACCCTTACCAAACCCACAGAGCTTGGCAAAAGGAGCAGAGCCACAGGCTGGAGACAGCAGGTGGAGGACAGCATTTTATGTGAAAGGCTCTGACAAAGTGCATACCTGTTTGTTACACAGCAGCAGCTGTACCCATGCCATAACTCACCTTCTCACCAATCTCTGTCCGGTCCCCACTGGGCAAGATTTCCAGATCTGGGAGGAGGGCACAGGCTTCCAGCACTGCCTTGTAGTAGCGTTCCTTCAGGGGATGCCCAAACAAGATGTTCTCGCGGAGAGAGTCGTTCTGAATCCAAGCCTGCTGGGGCACATAGGCCACAGAGCCCTGTGTGGCAGGTAGTGGAGAGGAAAGACAGACAGATTTGATGAAAAGATAATAGCGTACACCTGGCTGCAAAAAGAGTCGGTCACCTAAAACACACAGCAAGGGCAAGAAGAGAAGGGCGTTGACCCAGGGGAAATCACAGACAAGGAAGAAATTGAATCCAGTTCTTTCGAGGGACAGAAAGGCTGGCTTGACTGGACATGGGTGACAAGTTCACAAAGGGCTGATTTCATGCCCACCTTTATCAAAAAAGGCGGTGAAATGCCACAGAGGGTCCTAAAGTAAGGGAACAGAAATCAATGACCTAAATTTGGATCTAAAATTTGAGAAAAATGATTCAATTGCTATTCGAACACTCCAGCTCCTATGAGCCCTAATTGTCAGGACACCCAGTTGTAAACCTCACAAAATATTCAGCTGCAGGCCGTGTCTTCCAAAACATGGGGAAAACTAATGTTTTCAATACACTTTCTGAAATTACCAGCTACAAATAGTTCTTGGACTGGAAACATCAGTGCCTGGGATGGTAGGAACCCAGGAATTAAGAAACACAATGCAACATCAATATCCAAACATGATGAGCAATTTCCCTTTGTCAACCCTGTTCATGTTGCCTGTCCACTACTTGGAAGAAAAACAGGACACATTCATAAGCAACAGGTATTTGCTTGGACCCAGAAACTGTTCACTTATGTCTAAAAGGGCACTGAATCAGCAAAGAAAGGATCTGAATTGAAAGCAAACAGTGACCGAAGTCCACATCCCCAAACTTGAGTTCCCAGAAGAGGATGCAGGGGACAGACAGGTCCAGGCAGACACATCTGGCACAGGCTGGCTAAAGTAAAATAGTTGGTGTTTTGTTTTTCTGTTTTGTTTTTCCTCTCTGGTCTCTCCAGAGGCTGCTGTAAGGAACTGATTTGCACAGCAGGCAAAGATCTCAGAGGGAACAAGGTACTCGTGGGAAGGGCTCAAGGGACTTTTTCTTTTAGCAGCCTGTAACGCTTCAAAGTTCAGCTCAGCTCAAGTGTGCTGCACCTCAAATCTCTAATTCCACACTCTTCCCCTCCAAGCCCATACTAAGAACTCAGCTAACACTAAGGATTCAAACTGTGTTTCGTAGACCAGGCTCTGAGATTATTCTGGCCACATCAATCAGCACTGGTTACATCCTATTTACAGGATGAGACACAAAGATTTAAGAGAAAGAAGCCAGAAGGTTCCATCAACAGAAGCTACAGGGTGAGGTGAGAGTGGAGGAGTTTTCACCCTCCCTCTGTCCTGACATTTTCAGGTAGATGTATCATGGTACTTTGGTTAAATTCACCCTAGTGCCCCTCCCTCCAACAGGCCCCCTTCTGCTTTCCAGACACACACACACACACACACACACACACACACAGAGGAGTAATATTCAGTAGGGAAAATGAATGATTGGGGCTGGAGATCACCACATGAAGTGAAATAAGGCAAATTCAGAAGGTGGAAGCCACAAATGCTCTCTCCTCTGCAGCGTATCTGTGTATTCACAGCCTGTTTACTGAGCAGCTACCACACTGCACACTAGACGAAGAGCTGGGTGGGGCAAAGCAAGGAGTGGCTGTCACTGAAACCTTGCCTTCCTAGAGGAGCAGAGAGAATGGAGAATGGGGGGCTGCTCCCTTGGACAGTCTGTGAGAGACACTGGGCTGAGCCTTCCTCCCAGACCATCTCTCCCCAGCCTGGCCCCATCCTACCTTGAGAGTCACGTGTCCCTCCACCTTGTCCATCTCAGCCAGCAGGGCTGACAACAGAGATGACTTCCCGCAGCCTACCTGGCCCACCACGGCCACAAGAGCTCCTTCAGGGATGGAGAAGTTGATGCTGCAAGGACACAATGAGGAGCCTGAATCGCACAGTCCCCTATGCTCTCCAGCTGTTGAGGGTGGCTGTGAGTCTGGGTGGCAAGGTGGACCATGGCCTGAGGGGCTCAATGTAAATGCATCATGAAGCCTGGCCAACACAGAGCCCAAGGGCTGTCACCCAAGAGATGACGGAGGGCAGTCACCTCTTGGTTTACAACACTGTTCCCAACAACAAACCCCCTTCAGTTGAACTCAAATTCTCAGGCACCTGGGACTGGCTGAGAAAATCCAGAGGACAGAATACCAGGGTGACAGGCCAGGCCTGGAAGAATGTTCAGGACTCTGAGGGGCTGAACTCCCACCACTCAGGAGGCAGATCTCTACAAGTTTGAGGCCAGACTGGTTCTAAGTTAGTGAAGACTACATAGTGAGGCTCTGCCTAAAAGCAAGTGCAGAAACATGAGCTATAAATTCTACAGCTAGACTAGCATGTCTCCTGCAGCTGACAGCTCGGTACACTGGCCTTCATGCTCAGGTGGGGCACACAGGCATCCCAGGCCCCCAGGCAGAGGTCCTTCTGATCCCTGGGCAAACCACATGCATCAACTACTCAATTCTTTTGTGAGTGGGTTAGAGGGCAAGTCAGGTGTTTCTCGGGTGCATCCACCTTGTTGTTTAGAGACAGAGTCTCTCACTGGCTATTGGGCCTGTTTCTGCCTCCCCAGTGCTGGGAGGACATGGGTGTCAGCATGCTAAGCTTTTGCCACGCGGGTTGAGGGCCACATTCATGCCTCTGCATACTGAGTCATCTCACTAGCCCCTAGACCACTCACGACTATTGAGTCTTTTGTGCTGCACTGTGAGGGGCAGGGTCATGGGACCACCCTGTGCAGGGCACCCAGGGAGGCAGCTCCTCCCTTCTTTCAAGGGAGACCAGGATATTCTTACAGGCTAAGGGGAGGCAAAGGTTAAACATAAAAGGTTGGGGATTCAAAGTGGCAGGTGAAAGGACCAGGGACCCTGAGTGCCAGGATGTGGGAGTGCAGTACAGGCACAGGAAAGAGAAACTACAAAAGAACCAGGCAGGATTGAAGTCAGTCCTAAGGAAGATCTTACACCCTGAGTAGTTAGAAGTAGAAAGGAAGTTTCTGTCTCTGAAGAGTCTGCTCTGTGATTGATAAAATACAGCAGGCAAACTGCCACGTCAGAAAAGAACTGTTCAGGGCACAAAGGACAAGAATGGCTCAGAAAAAGTCCCCTTGGCCTTGTATTTTGGATTCCTTAAGGAGATTAGATCACTAAGCAAGCACAGTCACAGTGAATGAGAGGCACAAAAGAGGTGTCCAAGGAATAGGGACAGGGCAGGTATGCTATAGACAGATAAGGGCATTGCCAAGACAGGAACGCTTCAACAGGGACCCGGCCTGGACACCAGAACACCCTGTGCCTCCATGCACTGTCACTGGCTCAGAGAGAAGCACCAAGCCCAATCTGGGCCAATAGGAGGTATGCAGGAAGTCTGAGCATGGGGCAACTCAGATGAACAGCAGAGTTCTGCCGGCTCCTGAGACCTTCTCAATTCCCCAAACCCCAATTACCCTTGTGACCCAGAAGCATGACTTCCTGTCACAATCAGAAGCGACACCTATACCAAGAACCTTCTGAGTTGATCCTCACAACAGCCCAAGCAGTTGTAATTGAACCCTTTTCCAAATGGGTAAACTGAGGCTCAGAAAGACAAAAGTTAGAGTCACAGAGGTGGGGAGTCTGCCTCCCAGGCTTACCCATTCAGTGTGGGAGATTCACCCCTAGCCCATGTGAACGTTCCATTCTTCACAGTGATGCTATTCATTCCCCCACCTAGAAAACATCAGAAACAATATGTTAGGAATCACGCATGGCAACAGGCACACATTCAGATGTCCTGCTCTGGTCTCCTGCAGAAGCTGAGGACCCTCACTGGTTACTCAGTGCTTGAGGTCACCCTCCTTGACCTCAGACTGGAAGTAGAAGGAAAAAAGAGTTGTACCCTCATGTAAACCTCTCTCCACCAAGGTAACTACCATCACACCCATCAACACACTCCAGGTCCTAGGCTGTCGTCTAGTTTAAAGCTAGAGCCTTTACCCTGCAACTCTTGGATCCTAGGACAGCTTTGCTTTTTGCTCCCCTCCCTTAGCCATTCCACCCTGCCCGCCTCCCAGAAGGTCAATCTTTCTACAACTTCGGGGACAATCAACTGAAAAAACAATCTAGGGGAAACCTGCTAGGGAACAGGAAGGTGTGGAAGAGGAGACCCGTACAATGCCTACACTATAAGGTTCGAATTCCTGACGGTTCTGCCCTGCTCCATTGACTTTGTCTCCCCTTGTTTTCCTTTTACATCTGTCTTTTTTTTTTTAAGTCCACGAATTAACAGCCACCTTTAAAGTTGCCAGAAACACTTCTGAGGTAAGTTCCATAGACAAAACCCCCTGGTAAGAGGAGGTTGTTAGTTAAATTAAACTACCTGCAGCTCCCCAAGAGGGGGGAGCTGCACCCTCACAGAAGAGGAAGTAGGCTGTGCCTCTCCAAGAACCAGCCAGAAGCTGCTGCAGTCACGCTGCATCAGCAACCTGAGCTTTTGTGGGGCAGACAGACAAGGCTGCACGGTGACTGACACCCCAGAAGCAGGACTGGTCCTGACTCAGTGGCACTTGCAGAGAATTGCGCACAGCTTGGCTGTAGGAGCTCTGATGGCTGTCTTGGCTTGGGAGTCCACAGTGTTCCCACACCCAAAGAGCCTGAGGACAGCGGAAAACTGAGCAGCAAAGTTACAGCACCTGCTCGGACTACAGTTCTCAAAAAGGGACAAGGAGATACGTGGCAATGCCTGGAGACAATTTTGCCTGTCACACTGGGATAACTGCTATGATATGTGGTAGGGAGGTGTCAGGCACACTACTCAGCACCCACTGATAACCTTCAAAGGACAGCAGTCACCGGTGATACGCCCACTAGGCTCCTGGCACTACATACACCTCACCATCGATGGCCAGACACTGTCTTCATTCCTGTTTACTGGGCTCTGAGCCAGAGGGTGTAAGTTTGAACCCCAGTGCTATCACTTCCCAGCTGGACAGTCTCTCTGAGCCTGCTGGTGGCACCACCCTGGACCACTGCAGTAGTGGGCACATGCACAAAGAGGCCTGAGAACAAGGGCTGAGAGTAGAGCAGGTACTCGGGAAATCTCAGCCCCAAACTTACCTGCTGGGTGCCCAGGCTGAGCCTGGCTCCTACTCGAAGGCTCTACACTGTGTGTTCAAACTATATAAACACACCAGAAAAGGTTCACCACTGCAGGAGACACCAGCTCAGGGGCCAGCCAGAAAAATCAACTAGTCTATGAAATAAATCCAGTGGTAAAAATCCATAAGATACCTGGCTGGGCCTAATGGCACAGTCTTGTACACCTAGCTGTTCAGGAGGCTAAAGATCAAATATTTGGCCAGTCTAGGCAACTTAAACCCTGTCTCAAAAAGTAAGAAGTAGACAGAGGCTCAATAGTAGAGCACTTGCCTAGCTATGTGTGAAGTCCTGTGTTTAATCCCTAGCAATAAATTAATCAATCAATTAAAAACACCCAATGAAAGATCCAATGAGGAAAACGAAATTCTGAATGCACAGACACAAGCAGAAGCAGAAACTGGGCTACTCCTCATCCAAGACAGAACCAATGCCCTGGTTGAAAAGTCCAAAGTTCTCAATCACAGTGAAGGAGGGCAGGGACAAGAAGACAGCAAAGCCTCTTCCTGTCCCCTCTGCTGAGGCCTAGCCCAGGGTCTTGTAGGCAGAGCCAGGTCCTGGAGGGGCCAGGATAAGGACTCAAAGTGGGTAGAGGAAAGGCACCCACCATCCTTGACGGGCCACCGCTCGATGCTGTCTGGTTCCAGCTCCTCGTGAGACAGAAAGATCCTGAGACGTTTGAGGGAGACGCTGGCCTGGAGAAGCAAACACAGGGTGTGTCACCCCAACACCTGCCAGCCTGCACCTGGTACCCACAGAAGTCAGTATATGAAGGGCATACTGCCTCATGCAGGGGGACTTGGGAAGGAAGAACCTCAACGTTGGCAGTTTGACTTCAACAAATTACTGAGTTCTGGGACCTAATTATGGACAGACAACACGTGATGCAGTGCATATGGGCAAAAGGTGTAAATTTGCTTAAAAATCCTTCAGTTCAGGCCAAACGGTGGTAGTGCACAGCTTTAATCCCACCATTGGGGAGGCAGAGGCAGGCAGATCACTGTGAGTTCAAGGCCAGGCTGGTCTACAGAGTTAGTTCCAGGACAACAAGGCTCTTACACAGAGAAACTGTGTCTCAAAAAAAAAAAATCAAAGAAAAAGAAATCCTTCAGTCCAGAAGAGGGATAGATGGAAACAGAAAGAGGGAAAGGGAGAGACGTCCTCAGAGATTCCAAAGAGTGGATCAGGACACAAACGCAGAATATGAAATTGAAGAAGCAGGCTAAGACCTGTGTTTTTTAAATACCAGCTAAAAGAGGCCATAGGAACATAGAATATTCCAGAAAGATTCTCTGAGATTAAAAGGTAAGTCTTGAGGTAAAAATCCATACCTCCTAATCCAAGAACTTCTGAGGCCAAGATGTAAAGAAAATGAATTCCAAGCCAGCCTGGGCTAGAGTTGAACTCTAGGCCAACCTAGGCTACAAAGCCAGGCATTCTGTGTTTCTTTCTCAGGGTGGAATCAAATGACTGCAGACTGCTGAAACAGGAGCTGTGCTGGGACCCCACTGGGTCCTCCACAACACAGCAACATGAGCTACTTGAAAAGGCTACTCAGTCAGTCAATCAGGGGGGCAGTTTGGGTCCAAATGACACTGAGGAATCTGTGTGTACCATGGCCCTGAGTCTCCATTCCCTCTCCTGGCTCCCTGTCACCCACACACCTGCACAATTTTGCTAATGACCATGCTGACAGCTCCCATGCCCACTCCTGGTCCCCACTGTCCCCCACACATCTGCATGATGCTACTGACGACCATGGGAGGATTCTGAGAGCCCTGGTGTTACCCTTCCAGCCCCCTCTGTCCAATACACACCTGCACAATGCTGCTGATGACCATGGGCAGGATGTTGAGTGGGAAGCGCAAGATATTGAACAGGGCTAGGGACACGAAGGCTTTCTTTGCATCTAAGATGTTGTTCTCATCCACTGTCACATAGACAGCAAAGGTCGACAGAGCCACCTGCAAACAGAGCAAAGCACTGAATGAAGAAGTCACGGCTGCACCATCCCCAGAGGGGAATTCAGTCAAGTCACACCTCTCCTTGAGGCTTAAAAGGTAAAAAGCCCAACAAGGGTGCAAAGAGGCAGGTGCAGAGGCAGCATTCCTGCATCATAAAGAATGAACCAGAGACAGGCAGCAGTGGCGCACGCCTTTAATCCCAGCACTCGGGAGGCAGAGGCAGGAGGATCTCTGTGAGTTCGAGACCAGCCTGGTCTACAAGAGCTAGTTCCAGGACAGGCTCCAAAGCCACAGAGAAACCCTGTCTCAAAATAAATAAATAAATAAATAAAAATGAACCAGAAGGATGGATAATCAGGAGCCAAACACCTGGTCACTGTGGTTAAGTATTCCTGGCATGCAGGTGGCCCTGGAGTCCATTCCTAACAGCACAAAACTGCAGCTCAGGGAGTAAAGAGCACTCATGGCCTACATGAAGCTCTGAGCTCACCCCAGCACTGCATGAACCAGCTAGAGTGGAACATATCTGCAATCCTAGCACTGGAGAGGAGCCAGGAGTGAAGCTTGATTAATAAAAACTCAGAGACAGAAATTGGGGTTCACCCTGAAGATCAGAAAAGCAAAACAGCCACTGGAGGATCAGAAACATATAAGGTATCCCCAGCTACAGAGGGAGTTCAAGGCCAGCCTGGGTTATAACAGACCCAGTTTCAAAAACAACGAAAGTCAGAAGTCCCAGCAGTGAGGATGGAGTTTGGCAGACTGGTCACACTTCAAGAACAGTTGGTAGTGTCTTTTGGTAGTTAACTTCATTCTTTGTCTGGAGAAAGAAAAGTCCTGAACAATCCCAGAGGGTGACTTGGCTCAACAGGGGATAAGTACCTGATGACTATGAATCCGCATGTCCTGCCTTTGCTGCTCAGAGAGGAGACATCCTGGTGCCATCTAATAGGTAGCCACAGGGTCCCTTGCGGGGAGGGGTCCTCGAGGACATAACTACCAAAAGCAATTCGGAAAAGCATATATATGGCAGATAGACAAGCCTGGTCCTGGAGCTACAAAAGGCTGGACATAACCTGAGCAGGAGCAGCCATGCACATCTATGCCATCTCAATGCCTAGGGACAGGTCTGTCCTGTCCCTTTAAGAGACAAGCCCCACTCCCTCTGCTTCAGGCCTGAGCTCTCTTCCTTTCCCTCTCCGAAAGAGGTGGCTGCTGCCGTGGTTCCTCTCCTCCCCGCTCTCTGGTTCGTTCTCTCTCTCTCTCTCTCTCTCTCTCTCTCCTCTTCCTTCTCCCCTTTCCCCTTCCATAACCCAGTAAATAAATATTCCACCTCTCTCTGCATAGTGTGACTATGGGTCTGTCTCTCTGTGCCTAGGACCCGCTGGCCCTCATGGTCTGCTGGCCACTCAGGGGCTCCCTTCTGGGACCCAGCTGCCTTATGGCCTGCCATAGTCTCGGGACCCGCTACCCACCACCACTCGGGGAACTGCAGTGTGGTCTCATGGCCCGCTGCCACCACTTGGGGGCAGCACAGTGTTTTTATTTAAACCATTACACTAGGGGCCAGTGGCCCTATTCACCCAGAGCACATCAACTGTGTGGCCCAATACAAGGCGTGGAGTTGACACACCCACAAAGAGTGCCAAGGCAAGTGCTAGGTGCAAATCCCATAGGGTCACCTGACTCCATCCCAGCCAGTGAAGAACCAAAGTTCCTCCATTTTTGTCCGCCACCTCCATCTTGTATCTTGTGTAAGCTATTTCCTATAAAACATTCCAGTCCTCAGAAATGGCTGGGGCAAAAGTAACAGGGGAGTCATCTGAAGAGTACAGATAACAGCAGGCAGAAAGTCCCCACCTGAAGGTCAGCTGATAAGAAAACTTGACAAGCAACAGGCGTGGTTGGAAAATAAAATTTGTGAAAAGCCCCTAGACAGTCAATCAGGACTGAACCCATCACCACACCCTGCTAACGTAACTTTTCTGGGTTTTAGCTATAAATAATGCCCTCTAGAAGGGCGGGTACCTCCTCTTGCTGCTGCTGCTGCTGCTGGGGCACCAGTTGCTTTGACGAGGTCCCTGCTGGCTTGTATTGTGCACACAATAAACCTTGCTTTTGCATTTCAGTAAATCAGTCTCCCTGGTGATCTTTTGGGGTCCCCACAGACTGGGCATAACGTCCAGAAGCTTGGGTCTGATGCAACCAGCAAAGAGACCTGCTTCCTGCTCTGCCTGTCAGCAGACACAGGGAAGAACTATTTGGGTTCTGTGGCCAAAAAGGAAGGCAGTGCTCCTAAAGCCACCAAATCAGTCATGTGGGTGGTTCCAGAGGGTAGCCCCTTCAGTACCCTGGATATACAAGGAAGCCTCAAAGATTATGTTTTAGATTTGAGGCATATTATATATCTTTTTAACCTTATTTTATTATATTTTTTTATGTTTTTGAGACGGGTTCCTACTATGTAGTCCTGTGATGGAGGAAGGTCATTGGTTAAATAAAAAGAAACTGCTTGGCCCTCATTGGTTAGAAGATAGGTGGGAGGAGTAAACAGAACAGAACGCTGGGAGGAAGAGGAAGTGAGCTCAGACTCCACAGCTCTTCTCTCCGGAGCAGACGCCTCAGAGAGAGAGACGCCATGCTCCTGGCTCCTGGGCAGACACACGCAATGAAGCTCCGACACAGGATGGACGTGGGCTAGAATCTTCCTGGTAAGACCGGTGCTCACGGATTATTAGAGATGGGTTGATCGGGATATCAGAATTAGCCAGTAAGGGCTAGAGCTAAAGGGCCAAGCAGTGATTAAATGAATACAGTTTGTGTGTTGTTATTTCGGGGCATAAGCTAGCCGAGCAGGCAGCCAGGGTGCTGGGGGATGCAGCCCCGCCGCCCATATTACTACAGTCCTGGCTGTCCTAGGATTCACTATATACAAGAAGCTAGTCTTAAATTCAGATATATATATGCCTCTGCCTACTAAATACTGGGATTAAAGGTGTGTGTCACTATGTCTAATTAAAATTTATTTTTTTAACTCACCCATTAAAAACTGTAAATAGGGGCTAGAGAGATGGCTCAGTGGTTAAAAGCACTGACTGATCTTTCAGAGGACCCAGGTTCAATTCCCAGTACCCTCATGCAGCTACCAACTGTCTGTAACTCCAAAATCTGACATCCTCACACAGATATACATGCAGGCAAAATACCAATGCACATAAAATAAAAATAATTTTTTAATTGTACATAATAATGAGGTGTCATGTGAAGCTTTGACGCACGAACTCAGGTCATGCATCCCTCAATCACTTCTCTCTCCACTGCAGGAAAAACATATTTTTTACTCTAGATTTTCCAGATGGACCAGACACTATTCTGTTGGTGCTGTGCTTCCATCTAATGGTAATTTAGTAATGATCCATCACCCCTCTTCCCATCCCTCTCCCTCATGAAAATGTGTTTGCTCAAAATCCTCAAAAAATTCCACGAGACTAGAATATTACTCGGTCATAAAAAGAAAAAGAATGGCATGCCTAAACATACTATTACATGAATGAAACTTAGAAATGACACCCTGGGTGACAGAAATGGAAAGTCACCTCAAACAGACAACTCTCCAGATGATTGCCAAAATTAGTGGGAATAAGGGATTGTGGGTCTTCTACTAGGTAATGAAAATGACTGCTGAGCTTGCTGCCTACTGGAAAAAGTGTGAAGCTATATGCTAACACGGGGGCATTTCTCAAATATGAAAAAACTTAAGAGGAACCAGTGAGAGAGCTCAGCAGATAAAGGCACTTGCCGCCAAACCTGACAACCCAAGTTCTATCCCTGGGAAACACAGAGTGGAAGGAGAGAACCTACTTCCACAGGTTGTCCTCTGACCTCTGCATATGCCCCCATGGCCTGTGCGCTTGGCACATGTATGTATGCACACACACACACACATACACACACACACAGTAATAGTATCAAAACTAAAGTCAAAGTGGTCTAGTGTAAAAGCCTGTCCTGGCCAGCCCCGGGACCTACATTGCAGATGTCATCCTCTGTCACTGGTCTATCCCTTCTTCCACTCATGTGTGCCCTCACTTCCATGTCAGACCCACAGTCCTATGCTCTACAGGAAGTGATGGTCACACAAACAGCCATCATCTATTAACCAACGCAGGTCTAGAAGCTCTGAGCATCAAGATCTAGGGATACACACAACTATCCGGTTCTCTGGAATGGTGTTTTGTAGTGAGCTGGACAGGATCACCATTACAAGATGGCGCCGACATCCTGTCTTGTTGGAAATAAACAACTCCATATTTGGCTATGGCTTTGAGAGCTGCGCGTCCCCGCTTCCCGCACACGCGGTGGATGAGGATCCTTGAGCCTATCCCGATGCGGTCTGATGTCAGCTGTTGGTAGCAGCCAATCACAGGGCGACCCGTGTGCCAATTCCCTATTTAAGCGGCTGCCTAAGCGCGCCCCCCCCCCGCCCCTTCGCTTCCTGCTGCCTCTCCCCTTCGCTCCCTGCCCCTCCGCTCCCTGTCCATGCTCCCCATCAATCAAGGGCACTCCAGTAAAAGCGTGATCTGAGTGGAATCCTGGTGTGGTGGTCGAGAAGTCCACCACAGTGTTTGGTAGTGAGTGGTTGAGACTGGCAGGCAGGTGGGACCAGGCCTGGACATTCCAGCATTTAAAGTTGGATTTCTTTTTTGATACATTTTTTATTGATATTTATTGAGCTCTACATATTTCTCTGCTCTCCTCCCTGTCTCTCCCCCCGCCACCCTCCCCCAAGGTCCCCATGCTCCCAATTTACTCACAAGATCTTGTCTTTTTCTACTTTCTACTTCCCATGTAGATTATATCTATGTAAGTCTCTCTTAGTGCCTACATTGTTCTCTAAATGTCTAAGTTCTCTGGAATTGTGGTTTGTAGGCTGGCTTTCTTTGCTTTATGTTTAAAAACCACCTATGAGTGAGTACATATAATAATTGCCCTTCTGTGTT